TGATCGAGAGTGGACTGATGGGGTTGTAATTAGCCAGGTTGGATTTGTCCTGCTTTTTGAGAACAGGCCATTACTGGACAATTTTCCACATTGCCAGGTAGATGATAGCTTGTTGCTGTGTTGGAACAGCTTGGGTAGGAGCATGGTAAATTCTATCTCACAAGTCTTCAGTCCTACAAGTGAGATGCACAGAGGTCTACAGCCTATGCAATATCCAGTGCCTTCATCCATTTCTTGATAGTATGTGGACTGAAGCAAATTTGTTGAAGACTGGCATTTGTGATGCTAGGAACCTTAGGCAGAGGCCAAGATGGATCATCCACTTGGTACCTCTGGCAAAGGGGTCAAAGGCATGTTGTAGGATTGTTATGACACAGAAGGCTGCCAATCACCAAATTTAGTCCATGTCAACTCGCTGTACAGAAACCCAATTCTCTGCAAGCTTTTTCCTTCAAATTCCCAATCCAATTACTTTTTGAAATAATTTATTGTCTTCACCTCTACCAGCCTCATAGACAGCAAGCTCCAGTTTTGTGTAAAGCTGTTCTTCTTCACCTCCCCCTTTGCATCAGTTGCCCAAGGCCTTAAATCTGTTTCCCCAGTCCCTGTACCATTAGCTATCAGCAACAGGTTTTCTTTGTCTACTTTATTTAAAACTATCATCTTGTGCACCTTTCTCAAATCTCTAATGAGAACATTCCCGACTTCTCCAGCCTAATGTTGTAGCTGGGATCTCTCATCCCTGGAACCATTCTAGTAAGTCTCCTCTGTACCTTCTCAAGGACAGCATTCTTCCTAAAATATGGGAGCCAGAACTGAACAAAATGTTCTAGTTGCGGCCTAAGAAAAGTTTCATGAAATTTGGCATAACCTCCCAGCATTTGTACTCAATACCTCCATTTATGAAGCTCAATACGCAATGTGTTGGTAACCAGTTTTCCAACATGCACTGCTTAAACTTTGTTCAGCCATGATTTAGTGAATGGAGAGCAGCCTAGAAGGGCCTACAGTTTTTCCTTGTTTGTATATTTCTCTCACTGATGGGAGAGGCTCCCTCATTGTTGAGAATAGGGGATTGTTTGTGAAGTCCCCTCCTTCTGAAAAGATATTTAATTGTCAATCACAATTCACAGCTGGGCATGACAAGACTGCAGGGCTCTGATCAGATCTGATAGCTCTGGGATCATTTAGTTGTTTCTATAGAACGTTCCTTCTGCTGTCTGCTATGCTTGAAGCCCACTATTGTAGCTTCACCAGGTTGGCACCTATATTGAATACACCTACGTGCTTGATTCTGCTCTTAGTGAGCATTCCTTCACTCCCCACACACGGCCGAGATTGTTCAAGTAAGGAACATGCCAATGAGATCACGCGACTGTTGAAAGCTCATAGTGCCTCAGGAAGAAGAGATAACACAGTGATAAATCAGATTTCTGAAGAAAGGTCCCGACCTGAAACATCAACTTTCCTGCTCCTCTGATGCTTCCTGGCCTGCTGTGTTCCTCCAGCTCCACACTGTGTTATCTCTAACTCCAGCATCTGCAGTTCTTACTATTTCTGAGTGCCTCAGGAATGGCAGATTTTGAACCTTTAGATCTACAGTGAATCTATCACAATTAGCATAATGATAATACCCTACTGGGCAAAGTGGTGATGTAGAGGTAATGTTAGTGAGCTAACAGTTCAGCAGACAGTGGTTCTATATCCACCATGACAGATGGTGAAATTTGAATTAAATGATAACCTGGAATAAAAATTGTTGTAAAGACTCGTCTGACTCGTTAATGTCCTTTAGGAAGGAAAATCTGCCATCCTTACCTACACGTGACTCTAGACCCACAGCAATGTGGCTGACTATTAACCACCCTCTGGGAAGTTCAGGACAGGTTGGCCTAGCCAGTGATACCCTTATTCCATCAATGAATTAACAAAAAACTCCAGCTCTCAGTTTCAATACAAGATCATCTTTATTCCTTCATGGGGAGAGAGTGTCACTTATAGAGACTAGCATTTTATTGCCCAATTGCCCTTGAACTGATTAACTCTCTAGGCCATTTCAGAGGGCAGTTAAGAGTCAACCACATTGCTGTGGATCTGGAGCCACATGTAGGCCAGGCCAGGTAAGGGTGGCAGATTTCACCCCCCCCCACCCCCGTAAAAGACCATTAGAGTCTTCATGTCAACACATACTGATCATCAGGCTAGCTTTTGACTTTATGTGTTTACTGAATTTACTGCCATGGTGGATGCGAACCAATGTTCCCCAAAATATTACCTGGCTTTGGAATTATTAGACTAATTACAACACCGCCACAGTCTCCCCTAATTTAATGATGGGGAAGATGTAAAATGTTTAGAGGAAGAGAGATTGTAACAATATTCAATTTGTAGCAGGAGCAATGAATAATCAAACTATGAGATAGAATAAATAATAAAGTGTAAGAAGAAGAAATTGAATAAAATGCAATTTGAATGGGATCTTCCTTCTGGAAGCACTCAGTAGGTTAGACACACATGGAGAGCTTTGTTTTCGTGATTGCTCAATAATTTTTTGGACAACTTATGAATAAGTTAATTTGCCTTCATTGCTCAGACCTTTCAGTATAGGAATGGGGAAGTCATGTTGAGGTTGTACAGGATGTTGGTGGGGCCTCTTCTGAAGTACTAGTGTCCAGTTCTGGTTGCCCTATTATAGGAATGATATTATCATACTGGAAGGGGGTTCAGAAAAGATTTATCAGGATATTGCCGGGAGTAGAGGGTTTGAGTCAGAAGGAGGGGCTGGGACTTTTTTTTCCACTGGAGCATGGGAGGTTGAGGGGTAATTTAGATAGGTTAACAAAATCATGAGGGGTATAGATAAGGTGAATGGTAAGTGTCCTTTCTCTATGGTGGGGGATTTCAAGACTAGGAGGCATATTTTTAAGATGAGAGGAGAAAGATTGAGAAAGGACATGAAGGTTCGTGTGTGGAATGAGGAAGTAGTGGATGTGAGTACAGTTACAACATTTAAAAGACATTTGGATATGTACATGAATAAGAAAAGTTTGAAGTGATATGGGCCAAGCGCAGGCATGTAGAAATAGTTTAGTTTGGGATTATGGTCAGCATGGACCGATCAGACCGAAGGGTTCGTTTCTGTGCTGTATGACTCCTATTTCTGTGAGTTTGTTTCCTCTACTACGCTCCTTGATTATCCATTTTGCCTGGAAGAATAAAAAAAAATTATCAAAATGGTCAGAGACTGCAGAGCTTTGAGATACAAAGGGATCTGGGTGTCCTTGTGCATGAATCACAAAAGGCTACACTGCAGGTATAGCAAGTCATAAGGAAAGCTAATAGATTTTTTTTGGTATTCATAAGGGGAACTGACTATTAAAGTAGGGAAGACTGCTTCAGTTATATAGGTCACTGATGAGACTGCATTGAGAATATTGTGCACCGTATTTGAGGAAGTTGTAAACACATTAGAAACAACTTAGAGAAAGTTTATTAGACTAATACCTGGAATGAGAAGGTTGTCTTATTAGAAAAGGCTGGATAGTCAAGGCTTGTATCCATTGAAGTTTAGAAGATTAACAGACAACTTGACTGAAAAACAAAATCCTGAGGGGTCTTGACAGGGTGGATAGAGAAAGGATGCTTCCTCTAACAGGACAGTCTACAGCCAGGGGTCAGTGTTTAAAAATCAGTGGTTGTCCATTTAAAACAGAGATGAGGTGAAATGATTTCTCCGAGGGTTCAGTCTTTACGGTTCTATTGCTGATAAAAAAGTGAAGGGTAACCGTGTAGCCGGTAAACCTCAAAAGGTTGTCCTTTATTTGTAACAGTGTAGTGTGAAACCATCAGGTCAAGCGACACCTGGCCAGGGAACAGGGCCACTCACCATCTCAGCCACTGGACCAGGTCAGGAAGAATGAGCTGTCCTTCCCTTGACCAAACAAGCAGTGGTGGGTTCCAACACAGTCTTGCTGGTTGGATTTTATGTTTCCATCCTTGAATGCTCGTGCTATTTTATGGTTTTGGAATGGACAAGAGCCCAGTTGATCTTGATGAAGGATAAGCTCAGGTCCAGGTCCGTGACTGCCCTCACATCTGTCCAGATGTGGCTTTTAGTGATGTTAGTGAAGCTGGGACAGTCATCAGACTTGACCACTGGTGACAGTGTCAAATCACCGACTGCAATGAGTCTACTGTATAATAAAATATACACACTCCACCCATGAGGAGCCATGTGCTTGCTTATAAGAGGCAATAAATCAGCTGAAAAGCCTGGCTAACTCAGGAAGGTAAACATGCAAAAGTCTCTCTGATCCTTGCAGATAATCAAAATGGGCCAACTTAATCAGCAGCATTTCAATGCGGATCCATGGCTCCAATATTTCACCCATTCAAGGCAAAAGTCATCAGTATATTGGCCCAATAATTTAACTTATCACGCAAGGAAATAAGTTGGTCATAACTTCAGCCATAATCGATCCCACTGGTTGTCATGTCCTCATGCTAGCCATGGACAAGAGTGTGAAATATTGCAAAAATTAGTGGGCTGATTAACCTCCTGACAGGTTGTGAAGTGAACATTCCTTCTTTTCCTGCCTTTCTCTCAGTTATCAGGATTTTAAAGTCCTGAACAACGTGAGGGCACCCCAGCCTGGACAGCTCCCATACAACGAGCATGGAAGTCTCCCACAGCCGTTTGATACATGGTCCTTATTGGCTGTCACCACAGAAGCATCTGAAATCCTCTATCTTGGAGGACCACAGATACTCAGTAATCAATGGTTTTCAACGCAGAGCTTGTGCGATTTTTGGTCGCTAAGGAAATTGAGGAATATTGGGATAATGCAGGAAGGTAAAGTTGAGGTAGAAGATCACCATTATCATGCTGAACAGCACTGAAGGGCTGAAAGGCTGCCTTCAAACTCCTTTCTTTTTAATAGTACAGACAGCAGATTCATAGTTTCAAAATTAGTGGAAAGCAAATCAGGTCACAATCTTGGTTTCAAAATAAAACTTTTTTTAATCGATGTATTAACAGCTTACAGAATAAAATATGATGAGCAGCCACCTTCCAACACTTTCAAAAATTAAATTAAATAACCCAATTCTTCTTCAAGTCTGTGTTTGCCACTCAGCTACTCCCAGCTGTGACGGTTATAAGTGAATGATGTCGGGCGGTTTGGTGAACAAACACAAGGCTCTGCATTAACTCTGCTCCCTCAGTTCGAGAGCTGGCCAGACCTTTATGAAGGCGGCTACAGTCAGTTGTGCTGTATTGTCTCAGCCCATCAATCACAAGCAAATTATTTTCTCTCCTTGCCAACTTGAGCTGAACAGGGAGCATGAAAAACAAAAAAATCGCAGGTTTCAATAACTCCTCTACAGCTTGTTGATACTCAGGAGACAGTCTCTGTGCCGCAAGAACCCTTGCTTTTCAGCTCAAACACTTTCCTCATGTTGCAGAGCAGATCATTCGTTGTACCTGGCCAGCTTCAATCTGGGCACAATGTTCATGGACTGCAGTTCCTGAAATAGTAGTTTACAGGCATACGGGATCCGCAAAGAGGAGACATGACATGATGACTTGCAGTAATGACACCTAAAAAGACAAAACATCCTCAAATCATCTGCTTTAAACAAGATCGTGTAAAACAATCCTACTAGTTCCAGTTTTAAAAAAAATTCAGTCACCTGCCAGGAATACAAAAGAAAGTGTTGCTTTTCACATGGCGATAATATACAGAGATAAATCCTACTGTGTTTGTAAAGAGTAAAACAGAAAACAATACAAACTAAAAGGGCTCTAATTCACCAGCACAGATTTTTTTTTAATCTGGGGAAGATTTGATTGAGGTGTACAAGGTCGTGAGGGACCTGGATAGAGTGGATGGGAAGAACTTATTTCCTTTAGCATAGAGTGAGTGATTGTGGAGGCTTACATTTAAAGTGATAGGTACAAGGATTAGAGGGGAGATGAGAAAACCACTTTTCTTTCAGAGTTTGTTGAGGGTCTGGAACACACTGCCTGAAAGTGTAGTAGAGGCACAAACCCTTAAGTCTTTTGAAAAGGTGCCTGTACACGCAACTGATGTCCTGTACAATATGGACCGAGTACCGGAAAAAGGGATGAGGCTAGGTGGTTTGTTCTTTGCCCAGTGCAAACACAATGGGAAGAGGGGCCTCCTCTTGTGGAGTAAAATTTTCTACACTTTCTACGTGTTCAGGTCAGGAGAAATGTCCAGGGATGTGGGGAGAGGCAGTACATGAATTGCTATTTGGGAGAGTTAAATGGTCTTTTTCCTTTGCTGCAATGTTTCTGTGAGCCATGATTAAATTATACTTATTGAGGGACTTATCCTGAATATTGCTGTGCAGATTTTAAAACTGTACTCCAGAAAACCCAAGCATTTACCATTTTCTGAACAATCTTTGATAAACCTTACCACGCAGCCAAGTAACAAGAAAATCCGAGATCTCTGCACACGGGATAAAAATGAAATGCAAATTAAATGTAATTAAAGTATTTCGAATACGCCACATTTCCAAAGAACCAAGTAGTTGCGGTAGACCAGGATAGTGACAGCAAATAGGTTATGGTAGTGTAGCAACCTTGATAGAAACTACATTACCAGGTTAATTCCAGCCTGTCAAGTGATGAAGTTAAAAACCAATAAATTTGGCAATTTGTGGGAAAGATTGATTTGTCTGGCCCCATGACCCATCAAAAGGCTTGTATTTCAATAGCACCTGCCTCAATAGGTCCAGGAAAATATTCCCAGCTTTCGATGTAGAAAATAAGCCAGCTAATTCAGGCATAGGAAGCTCCCACAAACAGTAGTGTGATGATCTGATCGACTGTTTTAATGAAATGAGGGACACCCGTTTGCCAACTACACTGGAGAGATTTTCCCTGAATATTTTTGAAAATGTAGTTTGGGATTTGTCAGATCCACCCATTAAGGAGGAGGGGCCTTGATTTAGTAATTCCTCTGAACAGCTGTTCCTCTGACAGCGCTGCGCCCCCTCAGCACTGACCCCTCTGACAGCGCTGCGCCCCCTCAGCACTGACCCCTCTGACAGCACAGTACCCCCTCAGCACTGATCCTCTGACGACACGGCAGTGCATCTGTGTTGTTCCTCCGACAAAGCAGCACACCCCCGGTGCTGACCTTCTGACAATGTGACATGCCCTTATTTACTCCTTTTTACACTCCTTTAGAAGTGCAGCACTCTTTTAGCATTGCACTGATTTGGCAGAATGGAGTAATCTGGTCCCAATACTTTGAACAAGAATTTTTTAGCATAACCTTCTAAGGATTGGCTATAACCATGAGCAATGCTTCATGGGGTAAAGATAGCTGATGCTCTCAGAAACAAATGAATGGAAGCTGCTGTACTTACCAGCCAGAGTATCCCAGCAGACCACATTGTCCACAGACGTCCACCTCAAAAGCATCACTGGAGATCATTAGCCTCTCCAACAGCATCATGCTGGCTCCATAGCCAATCAGGCAATCTCGCTCCATCTCACCAAGACGCAAACCTCCATCACGCGATCGTCCTTCAGTTGGTTGCCTGGAGGGTCAAATTTTGAGGGAATCATCATATTAAGATAATGAGAAGCTTGCAAACTGTGAAGTTGCGTACACAGTACCAAACACAGGTATCTGTACAATAGGGACCTTGCTGATATAGATAGATTTTTAATCAGTAGGGAATCAATATATAGAAGATAAGCGCTTCATCCCAGCAATGACTTGAATGTACCTTCTCTGGACTGCTTTTAAAACAATTTTGGGGAAAAGGCAGGAAAATGGAGTTCAGGATTGTCAGATCAACCAAGTGGTCAAACAGGTTTAATGGGCTGAATGTCTTTCTCCAAATGCATCTCAGAATCTTTTATTCCACTCTCCAATGTTGTCCCCTTTTGATTTAATTTTTAGTACATTGTTGACCAAAAGCTATAAATTGGATGCACTATGCAGAAAATGAAAAATAGTACAGTTCACTCACACAGTGAACAGTTCACACAAACTTCAATGAATGCTAAATTCAGTCACTGTTTGATAGTACACAACTTCACTGTTGCTAAAAAAAAAAAGGGACAAGCTTTTCATCTTGCACCCATCAGGACAGAATTGCAAGAATACCAAATTTCAAAAGCAATACAGGACTCAGGAGCAAGAGTAAGCCATTTATCCCCATAGGCTTGTTCCACCATTCAATAGGCTGATTTGGTTATAGTCTAATGTACATTTTCTTGTCTGCTCCTTTAACTCCTGATTCACCAGTCTATCAAACGTCTATTTAAACAGTATAATAAATGAATGAATACAGACAAAAACAAAGTTGCTGGAAAAGCTCAGCAGGTCTGGCAGCATCCGTGAAGGAAAAACAGAGTTAATGTTTTGGATCCGGTGACCCTTTCTCAGAACCCAAAACGTTAACTCTGTTTTTTTCCTTCAGAGATGCTGCCAGACCTGCTGAGCTTTTTCAGCAACTTTAATTTTGTTCCTGATTTACAACATCTGCAATTCTTTCCGATTTTATTGAATAAAGAGAGGCCCAATCTCTACTCACCTCTGGAGGAGCAGAATTCCACAGTCGAACAACTTTGAGAGAAGAAATTTCTCATTTCTATCTTAAAAGAGAAACCTCTTATTTTTTAACCATGTCCCTAGTTTTAGTTTCTCCCTGAAGAGGAAATGTCCTCCTGCTATCCATCCTATCCTGCAGCCTAAAGATCTTGTACGTTTCATCATGATCACCTCTCACTCTATTAAATTCCACTCAGCATAGATCCGATGTGTTCGACCCTTTTTTTTTTAAAATAGAAGATAAGCCTCTCTTCATCCCCGGAATGACTTGACTCTATCTTCTCTGAACTGCTTCTAAAACAATTTTGTTTCAAATAAGGAGGCCAAAACTGTGCAGTGATCCAGATATAATCTCACCAATGTCCTGAAGAGCTGCTTTTATTTTCCATTCCGCTTGTAATAATCAACATTTCATTTGCTTTTCAATCACTTGCTGTACCTTCATTCTTACCTTGCTCACAATTTGCAAATAGGTTATACCTGAGAAGAGGGTGCTGGTTAGTTGGTAAGTTGACTATGATTGGTAGAGATGCTGCCATGGAAATCCACCAGGGATTACTTAACTGCCAAACCTTGTTTAAATTCAAACTGGCTAAATTGACTCTGACTGATCAAGACTTGGCCATGGGGAATGTACTATGGAATGGCTGCTGCTTTGTGCTTTTATCAACTTAAAAACAAAAAAACTTTGGGGGCAGACATGGTGTTTCCGTTTGCAAAGGATAGTGCCCTGTGTGAGACTTCTAATGCACACTAGTGAGTCACACTGCGAGTCTGACCAATCATCTTTCAACATTTGTTTGTGTAATTCTTAGCACAATCAGGATTGCGCTAAGTGATGTCCATTCACAGAATCACAACGAATGTTGGACATTATGACCTGAGGTTGGTTGAAGATGTCTGGTATTCTGCCTGCTGCAGACAGGGACATGCCATTTGATAAGATGTGCCATTGGAGCCATGGGATGTATGCCTTACATACCTGCCATCACACCTGTACTAAAATCTGAAAAGCTTTGACAGCTCATCTCTTTTTTAGCAGTAACTAAATTATATCCAAAGGTTCAACTTCAGGTTCCTACCTCTCACCGAATGCAGTGGGAACAGATCCAATCAGCTGACCAACTGAAGATCGACAAATTGCAGCTAGGTTAGTAAACAACTTAAGAACAAAACAATATTAACCTAACACTGGTGAGAGCTCACCTGGTGAGGACAGCCCGGGGGCCTCGTGCTCGTGCATGCATCTTATCCAGGACCATGTGCTTCAGCTTCTGATAGTACACAGGACCAAAGTAGATGTATGCTTCCAATGGTTCACTGGCAAAGACAAGAAGAGAAGGATGTGATGGTACGGAGTGGGTTACAAGGCACCCCTGAGCACAGAAGTAAGAGCTTACAGGTGAGGGACTTGTGGTAGTAACATTATCATATGGATTGCAGTGGAATAACGTGGCATACAATCACAGCTTTCGAGGGCAACTATTAGTTCTGTCAGTGACATCCCTATCCAGACAAATGAATGAATAAAAATAACTTTTGAATTCCAATTGTAACATAAATTCAGCATAAGAATCTCAGCGGGTCATGATGCTAAATCATTTTAGGGATCTTTAGTACTTTTTCACTACCCAGATCTCTGCTTTCACAATTAAATTTTTTCCAGCAAATACACAAGAATATTTCTAAATATTAATAGAAAACATGGAATAACTTTTACTATGGTTCTTAACTTCTGAGCTTTCAGCAAATTTGTACTCCAAATTTTTATCTTCACTATTTTTAAAAAGAATAAGGACCCGACACTTAGATGTTTACGTCCTCATGACATCTCAGAGTCAGTACATGCACTGAAGTGCTTTACAATGTCCACTTGTTATTGCCGTGTAGACAAAAACAGCATTAAATCGGCATACACTGCAGTAAGATCAATGACTAATTAATGAGTTTTTGATAAAGGTTAAGTATTGAACAGGACTAGCAAACTCGCCTGCACGGTATTGACACTGTGGGATATATCACATGGGATAAATGGACAGATGGAGCTTTGGTTTTGTGTCTTGTCCAAAAGAACTGCCATTCTGACAGTGTGGCACTTTCTCAGAACTGCATTGTAATAAAAGAGTTTAAGGGTTCAAAATCTAAGCTAACAATGAAGAGGCAGTTCCCACTGTTCTCATATCTCAGTTAAGTCACATTCGTTAAAATTGTATACTTTGTAGCAGAGGTTATATGTACTTTTCACTGCTAACAGCCAATTATATTGACTGATACCGTTACATGATATTGTACAGAGCATCTAAGCCAATCAAAAAGTAATGCAGCACTAAACCAGGCCTTTCGGCCCATCAGGTTGGTGCTGGATCTTTCCAGGAGCAGTTTTAATAGCCTTACTCTTCTCCTGCACTTTCATTGCACTGCACATTTCCCTCTACAATATCTAAACAATTCCCTTTTGAAAAATATTATCCCATCAGATATACCTTCGTTTCAGGCAGCTTTTATGGAAAAATAATGTAATTTTTCCCTCAGGTTCTGTTAGCAAAACCTTCAACCTATCTCCTTTGGTTACCAATTCTTGTATCACTGGTAACAGTTTCTCCTTAGTTACCCTGTTTAAAGATTTCATAATTTTGAACACCTCTGTCAAATCTCTCCACAACCTTTTCTCCCTTCAGAAATATTATCCAATATCTCTAACCTCTCCACAAAAGTCTAGAATGATATTAATGGTGTTAAAATACAGTACATCAAGATCAATATTTATGAACCAGACTTACCCAGTGATTCCAGAGGTTACATAGTCCTTGCCAAGATAATTGTAACCATAATGTATAAGATCCTCACAAACATCCTTTACTTTGCTTCCACCAAAGGCAGTGCCATAGTGGAACCTGCCATCCAGGAGGCCAGCCTTCCCTGCCAACAGTTCAATCAACTTACCAACCTACAGAGCCAAGGAAATGACAGCAAGTAACACATGCACAAATCCTGGAAAGCCAAAGTTCATAAGTAATTACTATTTCCCCAATTCTCAAGCCTAGCTTTCAATTCAGCAATTGCATTGTTCCACCTGATGTCAGTGGCCTGTTTCAAAGTGTGACTCACTTCCGACCACCCCAGAATTACTCCCTTGCCCCAATTCCTCTCCCATCTCATCAAAAGGGTACTGGATTATTATTATTTGGACAGAAATGTGCATAGGGATTTGGGAAAAAGGCCAGAAATTGGTACTAGTGCAAATATGATGGCCCAATGCATCCTTCTGTGCTGTAATGATTCTGTGAAATCCCTCTAACTATATGTTGATCTTTTATTCAGCTCCCACGCCTATACATTGGAATTTACTTTCCATGAATCCTCCCATCTCTCTCGCTCTCTGTCAAATTTATTTCCTTTTTGACTGACTATAATACATGTACAAATATTAAAAACAGGCACTGGTTTATACTTTCTCTTGATCCCAGCAAAGTTTACCCCGCTGTTTCAGTTTTCATGCAAGTACATCAATAAGTTGATAACGAAGAGGTTCTGGTCTTTTTTGTCTCAATGGATAGGCAAGAAATGCTGGCCTTGTCAATGGCATCTCTGACATGAGACAATGTTTAAAAAACATCCTTGTATGCCTTCAAAAATCACAAACAACAATCATAACCTTTTAAAAAAAATACTTATAGCTGTCACCAAAGGTGGGAGGAAGCAACGTTTTTGTGCATTAGTTACCAGTTTGTCTATACACATTGGGCAAGATTTCAACAAAATACAGTACACAGACATGGTATGGCTCAGATGCTTACAGCTTATCAAAAACTGTGGATTCAGATCCTGGAACTATTTTAAAGGATCCATCAACAACGGAAGATGGCAAATTAACTTGTTTTTAGAACACTGTGCATTGGTTTATTGAGAATATTGTTGACTGTGTCAGCTGTCAAAGTGGAATTTGTTACAGCTGTCAAAATATATGAGCAGAGCTTTCATAGTAGGTGGCTGGATATGAATTGACTTTAAGGCAACTCAGTGAGATGGAACGCTTATTTTTGCAGCTTTGTCGTTACACAGAATGAATGAGAGGTGGAGAAAAGCCTCTCTGAAAAACTGCACAACTGCAAGAACGTTGAGTTAACACAGCGTGGTGGAGGTATGCACTCCAATGAATGCCCTTGTCATTTTTTGTTTTTTAAGATTAAATGGCAGTGATATTATTACTGATATGTCCATAACATCAAGTCTGCAGTTTGACAGCACAAATTGATGCTTTATAAAAACCGAAAGAAACTACGGATGCTATAAATTGATGCTTTGAAACAGAAACAGGTCTTTCAACACCTCAAGCATACAAATTAGACTACAATCGATCTGCACCTCAACTCCTATTTATTCTCCCTAAGCTATATATTCTTTGATAGCCTTACCTAACAAATCCATTGATTAGAATATTGTACCTCTAGTACCCACAGCCTCTTCGGCAAGAAGGTTTCAGAATTTTGTATACTGTGGTGTGAACAGGCATCTTTGCAATTAAAAACCAATCAAATACCTTCAGAGTAGATAGTGCAGGAAAAGCCTATCAGCCAGTTTCCCCCACTGAATTCGAATTAACAATGAGATAGATGAGTTGCAAGTCTTTTAGTGTGTATTTATCACGATGCTGGTCATCCCAGCTGCTGTTTGAGCTACAACTAGGCAGTGCCCTGTTTGCATTGCTTCTTTATTGACTGACTGGAAAACCTAATGCTCCTGTCAAGGAGTGAGCTTCTGTCTGCCTCAATACACACTTGGTTAGAGATCTTTTCCAATATTAAACATTTAGAATATGGTGAATGCAGAATTCCTATTTGTTAAATGCAGCAGTGAATCCAAGGAAGGTTAAAAAGTGTCCAAGGATTTTAAATGAATGTGAAAGGTTTTGAAACCGGTGAAATGGATTCACAATATCAAATTGGAGTGGTGCAATAATTCTCACATCGATCAAGTTGAGCCGCATTCCAGATTTAAATTACAAACTCAGTGTTAGGGCATATAGCAGAATTTAGCAGAATAGCAGTGTAACTGTCCCCTCAGTGATCCAACTTTCAGAGAGTGCCATACAAAGACAGGAATCCCTTCACAGATGTTTATTATTCCAGTTAAAACTTTGGCTTCTGCTCCATTTACTTGTGGGAAATCAGTCTACCACATTCCAATACACCTGCAGCAAATGGTTGTTGCACAGAATAGGGCAGTCCAGACTCACTGTCATTCGGGAGGGGTAACCGTGAGGATTCATGATGATATCTGGACATATTCCACTGTCACAGAATGGCATGTCTTCCTGAGGTACAATCAAACCACAAACACCTATGGGAGCAAGAAAGAGAGCTTTACGAACAACTGTTTTGTAGTATCTACTGCAATTAGTCACAAACGCATCATTCAATCATTGGAACCCTGCAAAAACTCTGTAATCACAGTTACATTTCCAAACCACACTGCTCAGTTCCATATGTTCACTTGATAATGTGGAATGTTAGATGTTCAGAGAATATCAGGTTCTGAAAGGTAACACACACCTAACAAAAAAATTACTAAAATGTTTGACCACTGTCAGACTCACACGTACCATCACTGGATCATAAAATCTTAATTTTATAGTTAAATGGTTACATTATTTTGACCAAGGCCTGGGACTAAACCAAGAGAATGGAAGCTCATGACATTTTCAACTGTTGAACCCAGTTTAAACTGATCTGGAAATAAAGAGCTGGCATCAGTAAAAACACCAAAGCTATTAATTCCCAACAAAGTCACTTAGTTGTAGCAGCACAGTTAATGATGAACACACAAGAATTTGAAACAGTAGGCCATTTGGCCCCTTTGAGCCTGCACTGTAATAAGTAGTCAGTCACAATCTGACAATTAATACGTTTATAAGAACGGAAACGTTGGATCAAGTGTGAGTTTTTCCACTATGTAAGTAGGAGGCACCCATCATTTAAGCAAATTAATCATTGCAAGGTTGTCGGTACATTTGTTTAAACCCAGAACTAACAAAGAGAGCTTACTATGGAATGGGAAGATTTACTTGAATCACAAGTGATACCTGCAGCAAGCCGGGAACGTCTAGTGCCCATTCACGCATTTATGAATTCCTTTGGGTGGGGCTGGCTGGGGTGGAGTGGTGAACATCCACCAAAGGGGGTTAAAAACAAGACTCTGGGCTAACAGGTGAATAGGCATCTTTGGGAAAACTTCACGCAACCTTCTTGTATGGTGAAATAAGCACAACCATGAATAGCAGCAGACTGTGGAAAATGTAGACTGCTAAGGCTACAGAGGGCCAGTCTGTGTTGTTTGTTTTGTGTGAAAGGGAATGATAAAAGATGCATGAAATTGACACAGAAAGGCAGGAAAACAGAAAGAAGCAAGGCTGCTCCATCAGAGGCAGCGTGTAGCCTTTGGAGAGCTGCATAACAATGGGATCCACACATCCAAGCACAGATCCAACACAGCTGTGGGTTTCATTAGATGAAGAGACTGGTGACTAAAGTAAATAATTAACCTATTGTGATCCAGTGAAAGTGCTGACAGGGCTAACCATATCCAAGGGATTTTAATAACATTTCCCCAATTTAATTGCACAAGTCTATTTTATTGCCTTTGCAGATTGGATACACCACATACATAAAAAACCCACAACAATATTTTAAGGAAAGCAGTATGATTTTCAGTGGACAGTCGGGAAATTACACATTTAAAAAATATTTGGGAATGACTCAAATCACAGCTGTGAGACCTTGTCAAAAAAATCTTTTTTAAAGAAAAACAAAATCACCACCAAGGGGGGTAAATTCAGAACTAGTATCAGTATCTCAGGCTATTCTGATTTCTGTATATCGTTGCACTCTGATAAAGTGTTTAATTTCAGCTCTGCTATAAATGTTTTACCTCGGGCTCAGCTATATTTTCCTACTATATAAAGCAGTGCAAGATAGTGAATCCTAATTAATACAAAAAGATTGAAATACTTTTGTGAAGAGCTATTATAAAACAATTAGCACACAGTCTTTCCAACGCTGCAAATGGAGAGAATGGGTTAAGGGCTGCTTTGCAACACAGTTTGCATTTACTGTTTCACTCTAGATTGTATTTGTGGGAGGCAATTATGTGCCATAAAATGGTAATGTAACTGTTTTGCATACTTAATTGGGAGGTCACAAGGTTACCAGTTCAGGACTTGTATCTGAAAACATGCACTGCAGGGCATTTTATAGCTGTTTGTGTCTTTCACATCTCACAGCGATGCCACAATGACCAAGGAGAGTTTAAAAAGCAGGGTCTTTTTTTAAAAAAAAAGTTGCATTCTAGTAGGAACATTTGATGAATTTGCAGCAATGTTTTACTTTTAAAAAAAGCGCATTTGGTGAAACCAATCAAAAGATTTGAAGATAATTTGTTCCCACACCTTGAGCTGGGCACATTTATGATTACTTCAGATGTCGAATTCTTAAGGTTCTCACTGCAGCAAGTAATATGAAAATAACTAACATCAAATTAAATGTAAAAGTTTTTAAACAGCACTAAACCAGGAAACTAGAGGTGCATGTAATTAGGATAATACAGTAAATCATGTAGGAATTGCAATCATCATGTAGATTGGGCAAACAAATTTGCAATAATAGGTAGAGGATGAGTTCATAGAAGGCTTACTAAATAGTTTTCTAGATCAGTAGGAGCCAACCAGGCTACACTTCATCTATTGTGCAATGAAAAGGGTTAATTAACAATCTTGTAATAAAGGGGCCTTTAGGAAAGAGCAACCAGAATATGATGGAATTTCGTATCACATTTGAGTGATTTAGTCAAGTCTGAAACTAAGGGTCTTAAAGCCTGCATTATTTAGATACGTAGGGATGAGGGGTGAGTTGGGAAAGATAGATTGAAAAACTAGATTAAAACACATGACAATAGACAAGCAACGGCTAGCGTGTAAAGAATTAATACATAATTGTAAAATACATTCACTAAAGGCACAAAAACTCCTTAGAAAAACTAACCCAACCATGGCTAACAGGAAGAGTCAAAGATAGTATTAGAACAAAGAAAGAACAGATAACATTGCCAAAAGAAAGAGTAAAGCGGAATATGAGTTGCTGTTCCAGCAACCTTCGGGTGGCATCGTTGTGGCACTGCAGGAGGCCCAGGATGGACATGTCGTCTGAGGAATGGGAGGGGGAGTTGAAATGGTTCGCGACTGGGAGGTGCAGTTGTTTATTGTGAACCGAGCGTAGGTGTTCTGCAAAGCGGTCCCCGAGCCTCCGCTTGGTTTCCCCGATGTAGAGGAAGCCACACCGGGTACAGCGGATGCAGTATACCACATTGGCAGATGTGCAGGTGAATATCTGCTTGATGTGGAAAGCCTTCTTGGGGCCTGGGATGGGGGTGAGGGAGGAGGTATGGGGGCAGGTGTAGCACTTCCTGCGGTTGCAGGGAAAAGTGCCGGGTGTGGAGGGGCTGGAGGGGAGTGTGGAGCGGACAAGGGAGTCACGGAGAGAGTGGTCCCTCCGGAAAGCAGATAAGGGTGGGGAGGGAAAGATGTCTTTGGTGGTGGGGTTGGATTGCAGATGGCGGAAGTGTCGGAGGATATTCCGCTTGGGAACTCTGCAGCCCAATGGTATCAATGTGGATTTCACAAGCTTCAAAATCTCCCCTCCCCCCACCGCATCCCAAAACCAGTCCAGCTTGTCCCCGCCTCCCTAACCTGTTCTTCCTCCCACCTATCCCCTCCTCCTACCTCAAGCCGCACCCCCATCTCCTACCGACCAACCTCATCCCGCCCCCTTGACCTGTCCGTCCTCCCTGGACTGACCTATCCCCTCCCTAACTCCCCACCTACACTCACCTTTACTGGCTCCATCCCCACCTCTTCGACCTGTTTGTTTCCTCTCCACCCATCCTCTCCTCTATCCATCTTCTATCCGCCTCCCACTCTCTCCCTATTTATTTCAGAACCCCTTTCCCCTCCCCCTTTTCTGATGAAGGGTCTAGGCCCGAAACGTCAGCCTTTCTGCTCCTATGATGCTGCTTGGCCTGCTGTGTTCATCCAGCCCTGCACCTTGTTGTCTCGGATTCTCCAGCATCTGCAGTTCCTACTATCTCTGATTCAAAAGAAAGAGTAGTTAGCTTAAGGATTGAGAGGTTTCGAGAATTCAGCAAGAATGGCCAAGCAATTAATGAGGAAAATGGAGAAAATAAAGAGTAAACTAGAAAAAGACTGAAACAAAGCAAAATATATAAATAGGAAGAATACAAAAAGGAAAAGATTAGAGAAGTAAATATAGGCCTACTCGAGGCAAAAACAGGTGAAATTATAATAGGGAGTAAGGAAATGGCACAGACATTAAAAAAATATTTTGTATATATCTTTATGGCAGAGGAACAAGCAAAGAAATAATGGGGAACCAAGGGTCCTAAACCATAGAATCAGAGAATCCCTACAGTGTGGAAACAGGCCCTTTGGCCCAACAAGTCCACACCGACCCTCAGAGCATCCCACCCAGACCCATCGACCTAATCTATACATCCCTGAACACTATGGGCAATTTAGCGTGACCAATTCACCTAGCCTGCACATCTTTGGACTTGTGGGAGGAAACTGCAGTACCTGGAGGAAACCCACGCAGACACGGGGAGAACGTGCAAACTCCACACAGTCGCCAGAGGGTGGAATCGAACCCGGGTCCCTGGCACTGTGAGGCAACAGTGCTAACCACTGAGCTACTGTAAGTGTTGAAAATGCTCAGCAGGCCTGGAAAATTCATTGGAAAGGGAAAGAAAGTTAGTGTTTCAAGGCAAATGAGCTATCTTCAGAATTGGGCAGGACTGGAGAGAATGAGGAACTCCTAGAATTTAATACAAGTAAAGAAATAGAATTGGTAAAATTAATTAACTAAGCAATAAATCCTCCAACCTAAGAAGCAGCAAAACATGATCAACAAAAAAAAGGCAGAAAGAAAGAGAGAAAGCTAACTCGTAATATAAAAATAGATAGTAAGAGTTTCTACAAGTATTTGAATCAGAAAAGAGTATCTAAAGCTATTTTTAGTATTCTAGACAGTGTGTATCTAGGCAACTGATAATGGAAAACAAAGAAATGCTGGAGTCTTTGAACAGGCATTTTGTGCCTGTTTTGCATGGTAGAAGACTTGGGCAACTTTCCAAGCTAACTGAAAATTAAGTGGTGATGGCGGGGGAGGGAGGGGGTGAATGAACTAGACACATTTGCAATAATCAGGGAAAGGTGCTAGGAAAACTATTGCATCTAAAGTCAAGACCAAATGGCCTGCATCATACAGACTTAAAAGAAGCGACTGCACAGATAATAGACACAGTGGTTATAATCTTACCAAATTAAACATCTTTATTAGTGACAGGAGAGAGGCAAAAAGCAGGGACCTAAGGTGGTTAACCTAACATCTATCGTAGGAAAGGTGCTAAAATACATGATTAAGGTGGTTATACAACAGGGTAGTTCGAAAATCACAATTTGATCAGGCAAAGTCAACGTGGATTTACAAAAGGAAAATCATGTCTAACCATTTTTTTTTGATGAATACAGGGGAACTGATGTAACGTACTTGGATTTCCAAAAGGACAAAAGGCATTTGATAAAGTGCCACAAGACAACAGTACATGGTGCAAGGGTAACGTTTTAGCATGAATAAAAAGATTCACTAGCTAATGAATGGAGAACAGGTATAAAAGCGTCTTTCTCGGTTTAGCAAGCTGTCATTAGTGTAGCGCCACGAAGATCAGTGCTCCATCTGAACTATTTACAATCTATATTAATAACATAGATGAGGGGACCAAATACAGGGCTGCTATATTTGCTGATGACGCCAAGGTAGTAGGAAAGAAAGCAATCAAGAGGAGAGAGTCTGCAAAGGTATATAGACAGTTTAAGCATAACGCAAATAAATGAACATATCCACTTTGGCAGGAAGAATACAGAAACGGTACATAATTTGAATGGAAAAGAGATTACAGAGCTCAGTGATAGTGTGAACTGGGTATCCTGGTACTTGAATCACAAAGTTAGTACATAGGTACAGCAAGTGATTAGGAAGGTAAATGGAATGTTGTCGTTTATTGCAAGGATATGGATTGTAAAAGTAGGGAAGTTTTATTTCAGCTGTATTTAGCACTGGTGAGATCATATCTGGAGTACCATACACAGCTTTGGTCTCCTTATTTGAAATAAGATATAATTGCTTCACATGCAGCTCAGAGAAGGCTCACTCAACTCACTACTGGGATGAAGAAGTCATCTTATGAAGAAAGTCTGGGCAGGTTAAGCCTTATAGCCGTTAGAGTTTAGAACCATGAGAGGTGATCTTATTTAAAGATGCAAGATCTTGAGTGGACTGAATAGTGTGAATACCTGGCGCTGTTTTCTCTTGTGGAGGTGAATAAAATTACAGGAAGTTACTTAACAAGAGGTTTCCCTTTTAACACTGAGATAAGGAGAATTTTTTTTCTCTCAAATGGTGATTAGAGAGTGTGGAATTTGCTTCCCCAAAAAGGTACTGGAGGAAGGGTTTTTACATTTATTCCAGGCTGAGTTGGGCAGACTTTTTTAGACAAGAGAATCAGACGTATAGCTGGGGCTTTTTTTTTTGGGAGGGGGTTTGGGGGGGTGCATGATGGCAGACAGGAAAATGAGACCACAATCAGATCAGCCATAATCTTATTGAATGGTGTGGATCAGAAATGAACTGCCAGATGGCATACTGCTGCTCCGAAGACCCATGTATCTGAACAATTTTAAAAAGATGGCATTTTACAGAGATGCACTGGTTCCAATCCAGTGGATAAGTCAGCATCTATTTTCCATCCCTAATTGTCTCTAATGCTGTGGGGAGGAAATTCAGGATTTTGACTCAAATAGTGAAGCATAGGAATACAGTTCCAAATTATGATGGTGTTTGGTTTGGAAGGGACCTTAGAGGTGATGGTGCTTCTGTGAATCTGCTTGTCTATCTAGGTAGTCGAGATGACTAATTTGGAAGATGCTGTGGATGGAGACGGAGCTTCAAAGAGTTGCTGCAGCGCATCTTATAACTGGTGCATGAGGTACTTTGTGTAATAGTACATCATGAACTACATGAAGTTTGAAAGACGAAATGGCCTAATGCTGCTTCCAAGTAGGATGTATCCTTTTATTTTTAAATGCATTGGTGTTGATCTTTTCAAATTCTTTAGATTCTAGAAAGTTCTTAATGAGTTGAAATCACAAACCTAAATTGACTACTTTAAAAAAACAAAGGAAAGAAAAAATGGACCACAATTTGATAGTTAGCCTATAATCAGTAGTACGCAAAATACTAGAGACTATTCTTAGTGATGAAGAAATAGAGCACTTTTAGAAGCAAATCTGTTCCAGTTGTTTTGAGCCTATTAAATCTTAAGATGGATGTGGAAACCAGTGATGGACTGAATGGCCACCTTCAGCCCTTTAATAATTCCATGACTCTGTGATACAACAAATGTAGAGCACTGGGTTTTCAGAAGAGTTCAATAAGGTTTCACATAAACAACAATTGTACAAGACTGGGACTCATGAGAGCAGCTAAATCAAAAGGCTGTTTTCTATACAAACATCCAATGTAATCTGATGCATTTAAATTGCAGTAATAACTTACCTTTCTGGCCATGTCGGCTGCTGAATTTGTCACCAATCTCAGGACGTCTCGTCTGTCTCAGCAGAATTTTAATTAAAAATGCGTCTTCTGAGTTTGAAGAGATCATCACCTTCTCAATATACGAATCTGTTGCTCCTTTGTAGCTGTTAAAGTAAGCAACATTAATATAAGAGACATTCATTAGTACCAAAATAGGAATCAGGAGAAGTAGATCATTTAGCCCCTTGAGCCTGCTCCAACATTCAACATCGTGGTTTATCTGATTGAAACCTTAAATCTGCATTCCCACCCAAGCCTGATAACCTTTCAAACCCTTGCTTAGTAAGTCTTAAAAATAAAAGACTCTGCTTCCTCACCTATTCAGCAAGAGAGTTACAAAGATTTATAACCCTCAAAAGAAAATTTTGTATCTTAACTTTTTAAAATGGAGGACACCTGATTTTTAAACAGTGAACCCCTAGTTCTAGATCTCCATTAAGAGGAAATATCCTTTCCTCATGCTCTTAGTCAAAACCACTTGAGATCTTGTATGTTTCAATCAAGTTGCCTCCTATTGTTTTTGTATCCAGTGGTATCAGTCTCAGGTGAACCAAAATATCCGTGATTCAAGTTCCATGATAGAAATGAATAGGTTGATAATTTCAGTGTAGTACTCAGGGAATGCTGCACTGTCAGAAGAGCCAAACTTTGGATGTGACACTGAACTAAGTACTCCTCTGCCTATTTAGGGCAACATTAGAAGAGCAAGTCAGTTGTTAGTGATCTGGCCAGCACTTACTGCTAAGCCAACACCAAAGGTTAAATTATATGGGGAAATTGGCTTGTAGTAACTTGCAGTTAGCTGACTGAGAGGCAATCCGATTTAAGTATTTAAAATGTTAAAAAGGGATTCAACAGGCTAGATGCAGAGAAACTATTTTCTCTGGCTTGGGGAAATATAAGAACAAAGGGACAGAATCTTAAAATCAGAACGAGGCCACCAGAAGGGAAATCAAGAAGAAATCAAGATAAAGAATAGCAGAAATCAGGAATTCTTCCACTCACTCCATACCCCCCAGGCATTGTTGATACTGGGGATCAATTAGAGAAAATATTGAAGCAGATAAATGGATTGACAGATCCAGTTTCAATCTGATTAAGTTGTGGAACAAGCTGAATGGGAACAGAAAGAGGGTATTCAGCACAAAGTTGATTTCCTTTTTATTTCATTATTATTTCAGGGACCTTATCGTGTGCAAAACTGAGTGCATAATCTTTAATAACGACAATTGCACTGCAAAACAATTCACTGGCTGTGAAGCAACCTGGTTAACATTCCGAGGGTGTGAAACGTACTATGCAAGATTTTTTTTCTTCCAGATAATAATCTTTCCATTACGGCTTGTCAACCAAATTCCCTTTCTTTCTTCCCCCCACACCCTCCAAAAATGCCACCCACCCTGACAATCCCCAAGATGCATTCCACAAGTGACAGAAATCTGCATTTAAACATACGTGATTGGGACATCGCGAAACTGTGGCTGTTGGGATTGTGCAGTTCCCTCTAACGGAGTCTGTGTAACTGTCGGCATTGATTTGTTCACCAGCACCTGTCTGTTTTCCACTTTCTCACCTAGCCATAAATAAAAGGTGAAAATGGAAACAGTTTCTCACCAGAAACTTACACTGCAATGGAATAAAAGAATGAAAACATAATACAAATTCCAATTTGGTGCTGGATTCACCACAGTTGGCAAGATTAAGTTTCTGATCGACAGAACAGAATCAATTGCTTGTTTTTAATTTTAATACCATTGGAATGATCTAGAGACAGAAAAATAAAGTTTACTCAATATAAACACCAATGACTGACCAGTGATGGGTTTCCTCCTTTATATTGTTCTAACTGGATAAGTTTAATGAAAGCAACATGTTTGGCCTCTAATTGGTGAGCTTCATCAGCAGTTTTAAAAGCCAGGAAGCAGTGCTAAGAAAGGTCGCCTGGGCACTGAAAGTCGATTAATACCTTTCCAAGCATTCATTTTATTCACATTTGGATTTGAGGCAACTAATGCCAGTTAACCTCTCGACTGCAAATGGCAGCAGAGCAATGACTGTTGTGTTTTCACAACACTGGAGCTTCTTTTCTGGACGGGATTTAAAAAAGAAGGGTAACCTGGTGGAAGTCTTTAGGAAAATGACAGGGCTGATAGGGTATATGTGGAGAAAGTGCTTATTTTAATAAAATGCAAGTTTGATCATCCTTCGATTTAACCCAACATACCTTGTTCTCTTACCTGGTGAGCAAATACCATCCGCATCTAAAATTTCATGCCGCCAAATTGGCTTCCGTGTAGCTGCGTCAAGCATTGGACCCATGACTTTATCGAAAGTCTGATTTGTATAACGTTTAAGTGTACATTTAGCATTTTTATACACCAGACATCTTCCAAAGCCTTAGAGGAAAGATGAATGCAACGATTAGGACTCAGCAGTGGTTAACTGTGTGCCACTTTCCAAAGTTCTTACTGGTACTTAAAATCCCTTGGAGCATTTAGTTCCCATGGCACTGATAAACTGAGAAACAAAAGTAAGTGTGTTGGGAGAAGTGGGATGGGGGCAGTGCCATGAGATTAGGGTGGCAATGGCAGATAGTCTGTAGAATAAATGGCATTTCCAAGCACCAGCTTTATAAAATTCTTATTGCTGTCTCAAAATCCTTTCACAAACCAATGTTTGCAAAGCACCTTCAGTAGGAGGGAAATGTAATCTGAGGGTTTTTACTAAATCCACCAATTCTACATTGTTGGGTGTTAACTGTATATTAACTGAGCTTACTTGTATGGAAGTGTTAGGCATTAACTTAGAATTTGCTTGTGCTCCTGTATATAGACTGACTGAAACTACGATTGTTGGGTTAGGAGGTGCTTGTTTATAAAGTGCATCACTGTAAGCGAATGCTTATGTAAGATGTAAAGATTGGCTCCAGCTCTAACCTGCACCATCTGGTTTCCAGGATTATAACATGGGTTGGCAAAAGAGATTATAGATGCAATGGAAATGAACAGCCATGGTAGCTATACCCCAGTTACCATTCCACTAAGTTTACTATGTAATGTCACTGACCAGGAGAAGAAATCTTTACATTAACTGTCTCTGATGTAAACCTAATAATTTAAGGGACAGGCAATATCATTGTGATGAACATTCATAGGTGTTCAAATATTTCTGCATCGTGGTATGCAAGAGGAAATTAGATTAAATTAATCAAGTATAGAATGTGCTGAGTTTGTTTGGAGTCCTGACGGAACAGGAGCTAATGTAGCTTAAATTGGCTCAGGGCAATGGGTGAACCAAAGTGTAAAACAGGATTCATGCAAAGATTTGGATGAGCTCAAGTTTATAGAGGATGCAGATTCAGAAGGCAGGCCAAGACAGCTCAGCCAAATCTAGGAGCAACAAAGGCAACATGAGGTAGATGAGACAGATACATTATAGAGGTGGGAATAGGCAGTATTGGTGACAGAGCAGACGTGGTCAGAAGCTTATCTCTGGGTTAAATATGACAACCAGCTCTCCAACTATCCCAGATATCTGTGCTACTCCAATTCTGAACTATTTTGCAGCCCCAATTTTAAATTGTTTTATCATTGCTAAAAACACAACTGCCAACTGGGGCTCACAGCACTGGAATTCCTTCTATGAAACCCTCTGCCTTTTTAACCTCCTCTCACCATTTGTCCGAACATCTCATCCTGAAAACAGCGTCTCCCAAACATTGCTTATCCCATTTTGAGGTTTCAAAATTGTCATTAACCTTCGAGGCTTGTGAAAGAGTGAGTCAGACATACTGATCTGGGAAGACCTTTCACAGCGTGGAGAGGGTGCCCTCAGAGAGTGGGGAACCCAGTTGGAGCAGGCATATAGCTTCTATGACAGGTCAGAGCTCTATGGTGGCCATTACTACCTCAGAGCCTGTGACCCCATCTGGGGGTCTCCACCCCACTTTGGGAAGCCCTCCTTTAAGACAGGCAGTGCCACATCTTTTTTGATCACTAAGTCAATGAAAGTATGTTGAAGACACAGATCAGCAGTGCAGTACAATTTCATACTGAGTGCACTGGGTTCCAACATCTGAGGAGTTAACAAGAACCCGGGTGGAGCCTGCAATTCAGACTTCAGTTGGAATTCAGCGTTTGCAATGGCAGGCCAATCCAACAGCACTTTGTGATGGCCGTTTTCAGAAGCTTTGCAGGGATTAAATCCGAATTAAGCAGCCCACTAGCTGCTGACAATGTGTCCGGCTCCATCAACATCCCACTGTAATTTCTGATGGGGTGGTGCATATGTCCTGCCTGTGAGGGGTACCAGATAATCAGAGACTGACTGCATTCTGGTGAGATTGGGTGCAGTGGCCATGGTCAGTCCTGCAGCAGGTCCCAGAGACTGGGACATTGACACTGGAGCCTTCTCCCACAGATGAAAATGGATGGTGCAGGAACACTGGGATCAGTCAGGGAGGCCCTGGCAATGCAGAGCATGGTAAAGGTCAGAGGTGTGCCCTTTCTACCTTGCTGCAAGTGGGTCCTTCTGTTAGACACAGGAAGTCCAAAGAGGAGGGAACATCTTGTATCCAAATCGCCAACAAGGCCATAGGCCCTGGCTGTTTGTCTACATGGCACCATTTAATTTTTAGTGGCACCATGAGACCCTTAAGAAGAGTTTTCCAAATTGTGGGTCACAACTCCCAGTGGGGTTGTGGAGAGAGGATTTTGGGGACATGAGCATTAACTGCTGCAAACACCCCATAAATTCTTGTTTTCTTTTAAATGGTGGCCTCGGCCTAATGGACCAATATTTGACCCCAACCTCTGCTCCAAAAAAGCCAGTGGAAAGGTAGGTGCTTTAAAAAATCCCCGAAGATCGAACACTTTTCCTCTTCTGGTCTGCAACCTCAATTCCAGGCTCACCCTCTCTTCCCACTGAACCCTCCAACCCAACTTCCTTTACTTCTCAATAAAAACTGAAAGAACTGCCGGATGCTGTAAATCAGGAACAAAAACAGAAGTTGCTGGGAAAGCTCAGCAGGTTTGGCAGCATCTGTGAAGAAAAAAATCCACAGTTAACGTTTCAGGTCCGGTGACTCTTCCGAGGAAGGGTCACGGGACCCGGAATATTAACTCTGATTGTTTTACTCACATTTACTCACATTATTAACTCACATTTCCATGGTAAACTGAATGTCATCATGATGGTTGTGAATAGTTACATATCTTGGGATGCTGGTGTTACTGGTAAAGCCAGCAAGCCTAAACTAGCCATGGCTCAGTGAGCAGCACTCCTCTGCAGTTTCAAATCCCACTCCATTCGAATTGAACATAAAAACTTGAGCTGACACTTACTGTCGGAGTGCTGCACTGTCAGGTGCCATCTTTTGGTTGAGATGTTATACTTGCCCCTAACATAAAATGTGAAAAATCCCTTGTTACTCTTCCAAAGTAGAGCACTGGAGTTCACCCCTAGTGTCCAGGCCAACATTTATCGCTCAACCAACATCATCAATTCAGATTATTTGATCATTTCAGATCATTTCACTTAGCAAGTTCTTCAAAAAACAAGCAGTTCGCAAATTATCTGCGTTTCCTAAATAACAAGAACAATTACACCACCAAAAGCATTTCATTTTCTAATGTCCTGTGGAGACGAAAGGCAAGTTCCTTCCTCCTCCTTACAGTGGTCAACAAAGAGGACACAATTCTGAGATTACAGCAGCAACTTTTAAGATACATTGAGGATTCAACTTGAAAAGGTTAAGGAAGCAAATAATTTGGCCTACATCACCTCTGTCCAAAGAAGCCTTATTTAGGACGAGCGCATCTTCAATATCATAACCACTGTAGCTCATCACAGCTACTGTAGCATTCTGTCCTGCTGGGAGCTTTTCAAAGTCAATCAGCTCAATGGATTTGGTTTTCACCATAGGTTTCTGAGGGTAGGCAAGCAGGTACATGAGGGTGTCAATCCGATTCCGCTGGTTGTAGCCTATTGTACCTGCAGGGACACAAGACAGACTTCACTAGCTGCGTTCACGAAAATAATTTTAAAGAAACTTTTGGTGATCTCATTTTTATGCATAAATCAAATCTAAAAACAAAATCATGTGCAAGAAAGCAAAATTCCAACCTGAAACAGGTGCAAAGAATAGATAACCTCCTCTTAATTAAATAGGATTCATTATTTTTTATTTGGGGCTTCATTAGCTTCTTGGTTACAATATAAGCATTCATAGACTTGTCTTCAGAATCATTTACACTTGGGAAATGCAAGACCTGGAATAATCCAGTTTTTGTCATCAACCTGAATATATTAGTTCAGCAGGACATGAGGAAACTGCTGTTAAGTAAATCCACACCTCAATAGCAAATGCAGAAACAAATGTGTCAAAGGTAACAATTCATTCTTCCAACAAATTAGGTGATAGTAATAGCTTAGTGATCTATTTTCCAAACAGAATAGAATCCACAGAATTGCTACAGTATGGTAGGAGGCCATTTGGCCCATTGAATCCACAGTAACCCTCCAAAGTGCATCCCACTTAGAACCACCTCCCTACTCTATCCCGGAACCCTGCATAACCATGGCTAATCCACCCAACCAACACTTTCCTGGACACTAAGAACAATTTATCACGGACAATCTCCACCTAACCTGCACGAGGAACCCCATGCAGACACGGGGAGAACGTGCAAACTCCACAGACAGTCACCCAAGGGTGGAAGCAAACCAGAGTCCCTGACGTGTGCAGCAAAGCTAACCAGTGTGCCATGCCACCGCAAACATAACTTCCTGGGCATCAAGCATATGAGTTTCTGTAGTGCAAACTCGGTAATTATTTAAATATTTGAAATAAACCCTGCAAGGATCGCTGCTTTGCTTTTGTTCCTGGTTTGACTCTGCTTCGTGCACAATTTATTAAACCACTGAGAGCAAGGTATTGTGACCTTATCTCAAACTTGATTAAAAAGGAGGGAAATTTACACCAAAGCAGCAAACAAAATAGAAATGACTGCAAAATCCCGCTTCGAACTCATAATGTAGGAAGTCTCGGGGTCACAAATTTACACTGAATATATAAAAGGAGTATAACCTGAAATTAGAGGTGCTGTATGGACTGCTTTAAGTAGTTACTGTAATGGGTCTTTTACGGTTTTATTTAAATGTAATTAGTTAAAAAGGAAGCATTTTCAAGGCTATGGAAAAAGGGCAAAGGAATGGGACTAATTGATGTCTCTTTTAAACAAGTGACACAAGGGCCAAATGATGGCCTTCTATATTAGTTAATTCTAATAGAAAGTCACCTCTCAGAGTCATCACATCAGTCCCACACCCTGCTGTCCCTCCTCATCTTTAAGACTTTTTCCAACTACTTTTTTGAAAGTTATTATTGAATCTGCATCCATTCGTCTTTTTAAAGGCAATGCAACTTCCTACTAAAAACAAATTCACATCTTCTTTTCGGTTCTTTTATTAGCTTTCTTAAATCTCTTTACTTACACTGTCGAAACCTCTTGCAATTTTGAACACCTCTATAAAATCTCCCCTTAACTTTCTCTGGTCCAGTCACTCCTCATAACTGAAGGCCCTCATCCTCGATATCATTTAGTAAATCTGATTGTGTGGTGAGTTGGTTCAGCCAATAGTCATCAGTTAAAAGCAATGCGTTTTCTTTTTCCACAAAGACTGCACAGTGTCACGATGGTGCCATTAATCACAGCTATGCATTCAACCTGCTCAACATTTACATCCATGTTTCGACAGTCACCCCGCTTTCTAACGTCAGAAGTGACGACCAGGCACTGTATCCAGGGAGCTGATTGTACAAGCTCAGGTCTGGGCAGCTGAATACACCAGCCACAGAGGAAAAAAAAACAGACAATGAATTGCAAATGACACTCCAAAACAAAAACACAAAAAGCTTCACACACAAAACCAACAATGGGACTCTGCATATATATCGATCTGCAGCTCTGTATGCACTGATCCTACTTAACTGTGTGTGGCAACAAACTGTTCACTTTGAAAATGATGTCAAACGGGTACAAACACAGAAAGCAATTAGGAGAAATCTTTAGTGCTGGTCTTACACCGCTGACCCACTCCGAGTAAAGAACAGTGACAGGAATAACGCATAGAGAAACAGATGCTCAGAATATCAGTACACAAACACAATCACAGTGATAAATAAAATCCTTCACAATATAATCCAGAATTATTGAATTTACAGCAAGGGAAGTGGTTGTTCAACTTTATTTTAAGCTGACCTCATCAAATCATATTTCCCTGCCCTTCTCCCCCATCCCCCTTTTCCTTTATAGTCTTGCTTTCAAATCTTTGTCAAATATTCTTTAAAATGAAATTGCATGCCTTGTATCTTTAGGTCCTTAGGATAAACCATTCCCTGTTTGAATAACAGCTTTGTCGACAAAAATTACTCTAATCACCCTTTCACTCCAGCCAATGACAATTCTCAGTCTGGTTCTCGTGACCCATTCACCAACCAGTTGAAAAAACTCACCCTTTGATTATTCAGTTTCTCCTTCCTTCAGAAATTGTCTGTTTAAGCAGAAGTTGCATGAATTTTTCACAAGCTAAGTAACTCTTACCCATGGCTTGCTTCCCCATGGCACACTGGTAGGTGTTCCTTGGAGACTGATTGTGGTGAGGGTAGGGAATGAGCCCTGCACATACACCAAGAAGTGTAAATGGTTCAATCTCCAAGTGGGTCGTAGATCTGTAATAACCAGCAATAAAGAAAATTTCAATCACATTGGTGTGATAGCCTAGTGGTATTATCATTGGATTGTTAACCCAGAGACCCAAATAACATTCTGGGGACCCAGGTTCAGATCCCGCCACTGCAGATGGTAGAATTTGAATTCAATAAATATCTGGAATTAAGAATCTAATGATGACCATGAATCCATTGTCGATTGTTGTAAAAACCCATCTGGTTCACTAATGCCCTTTAGGGAAGGAAACTGCACATCCTTACCTGGTCTGGCCTATATGTGACTCCAGACCCACAGCAATGTGGTTGACTCTAAAATGCCCTCTGGGCAATTAGGGATGGGCAATAAATGCTGCCTAGTTAGTGACACCCTCATCCCATGAATGAATAAAAGAAAATTAAAATTAAACAGGAAAACAGAAAAATCTTATATCTATACATCAGAAATTTCAGAAGTAGAATAGACTGCTCTGTTTACTTACTTCTAACTCATTCATTACAATAATTCTGAAAAAAATTTCTAGAATAGGGATCAAGTGAGTTAGAAGCAGTTTTTTTTTCCATAGAACAACATTGTCTTCACAGAACAGGCAAGTTTAGAGGGCGGTTTAATGCAAATCAATGAGCGGTTAAAGTAAATAAGGAGAAAATGGTTCCAGTGGTAGATGACCTTGTAAGAAGAAGTGATAGATTTAAGATAATTGGCAAAAGAACCAGAGGCGAGATGAGAAAGTGTTTTAGGCAGCTGGAATGTACAGCTCAAAAGAGCAGTTAAAATAGATTCAACAGCAATTTTCAAAAAGTAATTGGATAAATATGTGAAGAGAAAACATTCCCATGGCTACGTGGAAATAGGACAGTGAAACCTGTCCAATAAGCTCTGTGCACAAGCTGGTCAAACAGGTTGGACTGAAGAACCTCAAAAATGAGGTGGAAAGAATTTTGCTGGGTTAGGGTATCAAGAATATAGAGCAAAGAGAGGCAAATGGAAGTTTATATACCGATCTGCCATGATCTGATGGATAGCAGAACTGGAGAAGGGTTGAATGGCCTCCTTCTCTTTCAGTGTTTATAACATTTTATATCCAGGCATTATCATCCTAGACATGGACCTTTAACTTAAAACGAAAATTATTTTGTGTGTGCAGAATCAGAATCTTTTGAAATGATTTTATATAAAATCATATCATGTGGTTGTAAGTTCCTAAACTTACTTGTTGATCATATGCTCATAAAGTGCAATATAGCAATCATTTTCTTCGTTAACATCAAGGTATTCCACTAATCCTTCGTGTAGGAAGTCTTCAAAGGACCTGGTCAAGAATCATAAAAATTAAACCACCTATTACATTAATACACAAGAAAATGCTATGGATGCTGAAAATCTGAAATGTTTTATTTCATTGCTTGTTCTATTACCAGTTCCTTTTGTCTTGCATCATCACCTCCTTTTGACATGTAATCTGCTTTTCACCTCACCCATTTCCTGACCCGCTGAGTTCTTCCAGGATTGTGTTAATTACAGCTGAGGTACCTTCAATCCCTAAACTTCACCTTTATTTCCTTAAGCTCCGTTTACCCAACTCCTCTCAAATGTTTTGATTAACTCAGCATTCGTAGCCTCAGAGGGTTGTCAAAGTTTATCAACCAGCACAAGGAAGACCAGCAGAGGGAAAGCCAACAAAAAAAAAATGAGCGTATGCAGTAACCGTGATTAAAAAGAAATGCAGGCAACTCTATTTGGAGGACATCACTATTTTACAAACAACGCCGAAATGAAGAAGTACAATTAAAACACATCTTAAATGGGGGAATTCCTGTACACTAAAAAGCACGTAAAAGATGTGGGTGTCAACCGTGGCTCAGTTGGTAGTATAGTTACTCATCACTGAGTCACAAGGTTCCAGATTGAATTCTCACTCCAAGACTTGATGACAGAAATTAAAGCTGTCCCTCCAGAGCAGGACTAATGCAGTGCTGCACTGTTGGAGCTGCTGTCACATGAGATGTTAAACAGAGGCTGAATCTGCTCTCATGTGGGCAAGAGAGACCCCATCTCATTTCAAAGTTGTTATTTCCAGTGTTTTGGTCAATACGTATTCCTTAAATCAATGTCACAAAAACAGATTGTCTGATTATTTCCACACTGTTGTTTGTTAAGAGTTTGCTGTATCCAAATTGGTTACCTTGTTTTAGAGTCAGAGCTGTAAAGTATGGAAACGGACCCTTCGGTCAAACTCATCCATGCCTTACAACAATAACTACACTTCAAATGTACTTAACTGCCCATAATGTGCTTTCCAACAGCTGGTTGTGAAAAGTGCTATATAAATGAAAAACTCTCTCAACAAAAAAAATCAGCCTATGAGTTTTACTACTGCCTTCTTAGGAACGATATATTGGCCTTGGAGGGAGTAAAACACAGGTTTACAAGAATGATACCTGGATTCAGAGGTGATGTGGAGAGATTACACAAATTAGGCCTGTTTTCACTAGAATTGAGAGGGTTAACAGGTGATTGATCAAAGTTTTCAATATAGTAACAGCAAATGACAGGGTAGATAAGGATCAACTATTTCCACTGGTTGGGGACTCTAGAACTAGAAAACATAGTCTAAAACATTAGGGCCAGACTGTTCAGGAGAGATGTTAGGAAGCACTTCTACACACAAAGGGTGGTACAGGTTTGGAATTCTCCTCTACAAACAGCAGTTGATGCTGGATCAGTCGTTAGTTTTAACTCTGAGATAGATGTATTTTCGTTAAGCAATAGGTATTAAGGGATGAGTGGTATTATCACTGGACTGTTAACCCAAAGACCCAGACAATGTTCTGGGGACCCGGGTTCGAATCCCACCACAGCAGATGGTAGAATTTGAATTCAATAAATATCTGGAATTAACACTCTAATGATGACTGTGAATCCATCATTGATTGTTGGAAAAACCCATCTGGTTCACTAATGTCCTTTAGGGAAGGAAACTGCCATCCTTACCTGGTCTGGCCTATATGTGACTTCAGACCCACAGCAATGTGGTTGGCTCTTAACTGCCCTCTGGGCAATTAGGAATGGGCAATAAATGCTGGCCGGTCAGTGATGCCCTCATCTCCATTAATGAATTATTAAAAAAAAAAGGGCCAAAGGCAGGGATATGGAGTTAAGGCCACAATCAGCCAGGATCTCACTGAATGGTGGAACCGGCTCAAGGGGCTGAATGGCCTACTCTGATTCTGACTTTCTTGGATTTGTGTTCTACTTCCCAAGGATCTAACTTACCCGAACAAATGCTTTCTTTCCTGCCTCACCTGCACCTCTGTTTCTTAAGTACACCACACCTGGACACACAAATCCATTGGGAATGTCATTCTTTGGGGTCTATTTCCATTCTCAATGAGTTTTTTTCCTACACCTTATGACACAAATTGCAAATCAAAGGGAACATATTTCACAGCAGATTTTATAGCATTCAGTTAAACACAACAAGGCCTTTGAGTGCGCACCTTTGTTGATTTTTCAGCTTTTCTCTGAGACAGAAACACTGTTTTGTTCTGGCAGCCTGTCCTTTTAATTCAGGGCACAAATGATTAAAAAAAAACACCAGTCCTAAATGGTTATGCAGGCTACAATGCTAGTGCTTGCTCCTTCCATGGTAACAGGGAACGAACACATATGAAATCTATATGGAAATTGAGGGGTTCAGTTACAGGTATGACAACTTGCTTCTAAGGTGGCTAGTAGCCATGAAATTCTAATGAACCTCAATAGCCAAGTGAGGAGCAGAGGAGCAAAGGAGCAAGGAGGAGAGGGACAGAACTGAGCATTTCACTGATAGATCTGCTAGCTCAAAAATTGAGCAAGGAAATGTTTACAAAAATTATGTTACATCTTTCATTTCCTAAAATTGAGGATAATAACAGAATATCACTAAATATATCTATACCATTGTCTAATAATTGTTTTTTTTAAATACTTGAACCTCAAAGTGAGCTCTGAACTGAATTGCTATTGATCATTGAAGATTACAGAGATATCCTGAAGACAGAAATAACTCCCTTGGTTTAAAAGTAATTGCGAGGCATAACTTTTAGTTCATGTTCCTTGGGGATTGAGAAATATATCAGCCATGATTGAATGGCAGAGCGAACGCAATGCGCCAAATGGCCTAATTCTGCTTCTATAGCTTATAGTCTTATTACCATATGCAGCAATTAAACGATTTTGTTTTTAAATCACAGTATTAAGGCCACTGAAAAGACAATTTCGGATGTGTGATACAGGAAGCAAAATGTTTCAGAGGAAAGCCAAGGCATCAAAATGCAATATCAATTTTTGCCATCTTGTGCCCTTCAATATAATCATGCACATTCAAAAAGATAAGCATAACAGCAACCAGCTGAAAACCACCCAACAGCTGGTTATTAGGCAGAAACAAGGCAGCAAAGGAACATGCCAGCAATTTGCCCCCTATGTGGGAAATTACCAATTCTCCACCCAGCAGAGTCACCCAGTGTCCTGGACTGACTTACTGTGGAATTGCAAGGAAAAGGTCACAGTGCTACCACAGTGTGTACATTAAGTTACCCTTTTCAACAAAAATAAAAATCATGTTGATGTTAGTAAATTTATATTGAGATTACCTGTAACCCTGAGATAGTTCTTCAATATGCTTATTTGTGACTGCTGGTTGTCTGTTCTTCACAATAATGTAGGGCCTAAACAAAATTAAGCAAAGAACCTTTCATTAGAGAGGCCAATATTCTCCAATGCAACTAATGATGCTTTTGCTAAGAAAAGCATGTGGAGAACAAAAATAAAATTATTGAAACTCTATTTCAAATCAATAATAATCAGGTACAGCACAAATCTTCATTTTTAGAGCACAATCGCAAGAAACAAGGGTACACTACATTTCAGGTACTATTATCCAATTTGTACATTCCAAATTGAATTTACATTTAAGTACAGAAACTAACAGCAGTGTACATTAGTCTGGTTACCTTTACCAGGGAGACAATTACAGTCTGAAGGGGTGGAGAAGACGAGCAGGTCATTACCGGTAGCAGCTACAATTCTACACAGGCCAGCAAGGCAGAATTTAATCAATTTATTCTTTCGTAGGATATTCCTAAACACCCTTGAAACATTTCAGAGAATAGTTAAAAAGTCAAGCATATTGCTGCGTGTCTGGAGTCACATATAGACCACAACTGGTCAGAATGACAAGTTTCCTTCCTGATAAAAGGACATCAGTGAACCAGATGGGCTTTCCCTGACACCCCAAAAAGGTTCACATTGCTCACTAGGAAAGTTCTGAGCGTGCACACTTTGAAAAATGCTTTGCTAGTGAAAAAAATCATGTAGGTACCCAAATAAGCATGAGCGAATGTGACAGAATGACGTTACTGGCAGGGGTCCTATTCATGGTGAGACTTGAAGCTATGGCACCATAGCAATAGCCAGAGTCTCTAGATTATCAGTCCAGTGACAATTCCACAACATCGCCACGTCAGAAGTCAGATGACTCCAGGTTATAGTCCAACAGATTTATTTCAAATCACAAGCTTTCAGAGCATTGCCCTTTTGTCACTTCACCTGAAGGGACAATGCTTCGAAAGCTTGTGATTTCAAATAAACCTGTTGGAAGATAACCTGGTGTTGTCTGACTTCTGACCTTGTCCATCCCAGTCCAACACGGGCACTTCCACATCATGTCACCACCTCACCTTAAGCACATGCTGCTACCTTCACAGTGGTCCCGTACAGTTCCTTGATAATAATAATCACTGAACCTCCTTGGCTCGAGTAAGTGACTGGGTGGCAGGGTAGATGGGACTGAACAAAAATATATCCACAATGCAGGAAGCACCTGAAAGGCAATTCACGTCAAATGCCCACTTTTGTGTGAATTCTGCCGAGGCAAACAGAACGTGTGGCCCACCAGAAGAAAACCAATGTCAGTGTCAGTTATACCCAGTTCTTTATCTCAGCCTTAGTTCCCACCCCCTTCCAAGCTATTAAGGAGTCCCAGCCTTGTGCTTTTCCCTCTGCAGCTCTACTTAACCAAAAAGGCAAAACAAAAGGTTTTATTCGTTAGCTCTGCCGCTTGATACTTTTAAATGGTCATTTTTATTAACTACTCATTTAAAGTAGTAATATTTTGATTCAGACTATTTTTTTCTCTTAAAACTCATATCTACAGTTATGGCAAACTTTATTTTCTTAAAGGCGCTCACCAACTGCCCCCACCACCCATCAAGTGAGAGAAACATTGAAATGTGTCCTCCCAAGCAAAAACGTCAAACGATCCTGTTTTAAAATAAAGCTCAAGCCCTTGTTCTAATCTGCATTACATCTTCAATGCAACCATTGCAACATCACCAGTGCAACCTTCGTAATCTTTAAAAATAAAAGGGTGCAAATATTTGAAGTTACATTGGCTGATGTCCCCAATGTAGCTTTATATTTACTGTTCAAAACTAAATCAGAAAAATGCAAGGGAGGCTACAGCCCATCTCCCAGTGAATAGACCGCACCAGTGAAAATGAGCATACTTGGATAGGCTTAATGAAAATGAGCAGATTTATGAAAGTGTTTCGGATCTCTGTTTGCCGCGCTTGACATGGGGACACGTATCTCTGCACGCTGTACCACTATCACCGCAGCAACACAACAAGACAAAGGGCGGCATGCGACATCTGATCATCAGCAAGCTCACTGTTTGCACAGCGAGCTCCAGCACAGAGCAGAAAATAAACAGTAGGTACTCGTATAAAAATAAAGCACAAACACTTCCTTAACTTTCAATGAGCACATCTTAAAAAGTTAAGTACTGTATCAGAACAATGCAATCCAAGTATGCATTACAGGATAGGGCAAACAGAAATTCCATTACTTCTTCAACTGCAGAACAATGCCACAGCAAAGAAAGGGATGAGATTTTTTTTTATGAAAAGAATTTAGTAGCACCGAATGCGATTGATAATGCAAACACAGCATAAAACACATGACGAGTAGGGAAGAGATCTTCTAGAATTTAGTATTTTTTTTCTTCCAAAGGTAGTGCACTTTTATCCATAAAAGAATAAAACAAATAAATTGTAATGCTCTGCGATACTTCTGAAACATTAGTCTAGTTTAGTCTTATTTATATTGTCTGTGTATGCGATGATGTGCAATAATTATTAGGGCCAAAAATTAATTAACGTAGCTTACTTCTGCACAAAGTCTCAAGTACCAAGGTAGGAACTATTTATCACCCAGACCTTTAGCTTGTTGAACAATGGAATTTCAGTAGATGTTACCGAATGAACAGGTGCTACACATCAAGCAACATTCACAGCACAGAAACAGGCTGATTATAATGTCATATTTCAGATAGGCCTCTTCCGACTGGTCTTTATCTTACCCAATCTGCACATGCTTTGATTTTGACCTCTTGAACATACCTAAGTTTAATTGTTCCATCATTGGCAACTGAGAGTTCAGCTACTTAAGCTCTGACTCAAGAATTCCCACCTTAGACCTCCCTGCTTCTCTACTCTCTCTCCTTCTTTAGGAGGGTCCTTAAAACCTACCTCACAGACTAAGCTTTGGGTCACTTGTCCTCACGTTGCCTCACACGGCTCAGAATCTAACTTTTGCTTGCAATATTCACTTCTTGGACAGGAACACCCTGGAGTTCCATTTTTTATTATCATGGAAACAGACAAAACAGTAGAAGGACATTTGGCTCATTGTGCCTGGCCTGGCTTTTGGAAAGAATAATTCAACCAATCAGTTCCACTCAGTTGCTATTTGTCCATAGCCCTTTAAATTTTTACTTTATATTCTAACATATAAAAATGCATATGAAAACATAGAAATATGTTACCAATGAATCTGCTCTCAAGCAGTGCATTCCAGATGACCATTTGTCATGAAGTAACTAATAAGAATTTTTCCATTTCTTGATTTCAGCTTATTAATACACATTGGAAGCGTAAATTGCCGAACACAAATTGCTACAGTCCCACATTCCATGCACTGCACTTCCACCCCAAACCATAGAACATCACTCATCAATACGTCCATTCTCAGATGCCCTCTTAACGGAAACCTTCCACACCTCTTTCAATGTTGACTTCTTTCTCCTTAAATCCAGTCTTACCATTAAAAACTTTATCAAGTGTTTTATGAAAATCCTATATAATTCACATTCACTGCATTTCTCTCCACCCTCTCAGTTCTTCACAAGTTTTGTAGGATATAATGGGGCAGATTCACACATTGTCGTCTTCGTAGATGAACAGCATGGAATGTGAAGAGACCCCACATGCTATCAACAGGATTAACAGAGCTCTGCCATAAGTTGCTCAAGTAAGTACCCAGTGCTTTTAATACCTGCAAAGTCTGCCTCCATCGGAAGAAATATAAACACAGCGATCTGTCAGATTTGTAGAGATAGAAACAAATTCATTGATGTATCCTGCTCGGCGCATCAAACGGAATGTTTTCACCAGTTTCTGATGATCGTGTATTACACCCAAGATGTTACCTTTGGAGATCAGCACAGACAGGGAGAGATTACATTAAAAGAATAGGTGTTGAATATAATTGCAAATTAGATGCAGGCCATTCAGCCCACTGCAGCTGTGAGAGCTCTTTGAAAAAGCTACTTAATCCCACTACATCCTCCCCATAATCCTAAAATGTAGCTGTGTTCCATACATGTTCAACTGTCTTGAAAGTTCCTGAAGTCAAATTCAACTACTTTCAAGGATTTCCAATCCTAATAAATCTGTTTAAAAAGACTTCCCACTTCCTTTCTTGTTCTTTTGCCAATTATTTTAGATCAAGCCCCTCTGAATACTGATCCATTTGACAAAAAGCAAAAAAAACAAACTTTTTTTCCCTATCAGAACCCCTAAATTTTCAATTCCTCAAACAGATTTCTATTTAATCTTTTCTACTGAAAGAAGAATAGCTCCAGCTGCTCCAATCTTTCCACACAACTGAAGTTTTTCAACCCTGGTAAAATTCCCCTACCTTCTCCAGGGCCTTGACCTCCTTCCTAAAGTGTGATGCTCGGAGATGTTTACAATATCTCTGCTGAGGCCTGACCAGTGATTCTTAAAACGTCTGCAATTATTTTTATTCAACACCTCCACTTACAACGCAAAGTGTCCCAAAAGTTTTCTTAGGCACCTCATTAGGTTGCCCAGTCACCTTCAAGGATTTGTAACTCTGCATTTCCTTCTGCTCCTAACATCCCAACCCCTCACGATAGGTGTTCCCTCTACGCTTCCCATTATTCAGAGACCTGACCAAGCTGTTGACAGAGATGTGGAAGGGAATTATCCCATTGGCCTGAGCACTGCTTTTTTATTTTGCAGTCATCAAAATGCTTGCGGTAGTAACAGTGGAAGAAATTAAGTCAACAAAAGGTTAAAGAAAAAACACAAAAAGATGTTCTGCTTTAAAGAGAGTAAGTAAGTTCAGGTATGTGGAAGATGAGCTATATTTAAAGACTGAAAGTAGCTTATGCAACCAAGCTGCCATTACTCTTTCGCATGCAATTAAGGTACAAAATTCCAGATACACAGACAGAAAATGCTGGCTCTAACTTGCTGCTAAGAAGCATTAAGTCACACCCCAACATGCTCCAAACACGTAGGAGTGTCCTGCTTCCAATGATCCATTCCCCCTTAGTCATTTGGTATTTCAGAATAACTACTGCTGAAACAGAGAGGATGTACTATTATCACTTTTCTCTTTTTCTACTGTACTACTATGTGCTACTTAGGACAAAAGACTACCTTACCGAATTGGCTCAAAAGCTACGTTTGATGAGGAACAGCTCTCATAAAGTAATGGTTAACATTCCTCTTGCAACCAACTCAGTCAAAAGAAACCTTCACTTGTTAGTCATCTGTTTGCTAAAGACTTCTTTCAGCTGTGGTTCAATTGGTAGTAGTCTTGCTTCCAATCAGAACCTTCTGGTTCGAAGTTCAACTCTAGACACGAACCCAAGATCAAGACTGGCAGTGTTGAAGGAGTGCTGTCTTATTTGGTCCCTGTGGTCTGCCCTCTCAAGTGGATGCAAAATAGTTCACATCAGTATTTACAAGAGGAGGAAGGAAACCGTCCCTGGTGTCCTGGCCAATATTTACCCCTCAATCAATGTTACAAAGAACAACACATCTGGTTATTATCACTTTGCTGCAAGTAGGAGCTCACTGTGTACTGATGACTGTTTTTCTGACTTGATGATAGTGACTACACTTCATAAGTACTTCATTCACTCTAAAGCATTTTGAAACTTTTGCTGTTTGTAAAAGGCACTACATCAATACAAGACTTTTCAAACTGTGGACAGAATGGCAATACAAATTGTGAGAATTAGTTAGTAATATTCAGATATGATAAGGTGCTGCACAAATGCCAGTATTTTGTCACTGCTGGTGGTGGCACTGGAAAGGACTATTAAACAGCTCAGATAAAAGCTTCTCTTCGTATACCAAAGAATTTACTAAGAAAAGTCAACAGCAATATTTTAGAGTTGCATTAGTGTTATTTTATTCATGTGGTGTTGTGTACACATTAAAGAAAACCTGGAAGTTGATTTAACCATATTCATTCTGTACAAGGGTGCCATCTTCTGAACCATTACAGGCATTCTCTCTTGAAAGTGCTATGTGCTTCAAACAGCTATATTTTACTCACGAGTACTTGAAAATTCTGGTTAGCTGCCATGGGAATTGATTAGAACAAAGAGCAATATGGCACAGGAACAGTCCCTTCAGCTCTCCAAGCCTGCACTGACATATTTTGCCCTTCCTGTCTTCACTTACAGGATCCATATCCCTCTATTCCCTTCCTATTCATGTATTCATCCAGGTGTTTCTTGAATGCTGCTATTGTGTTTGATTCCACCACCTCCACTGGCAGCATGTTCCAGGCACTCACCGACCTTTGTGTGAAAAACTTGCCTCACATGTCTTTTAAATTTCCCTCCCTGCACCTTGGATCTGTGTCCCCTAGTAATTGACCCTTCCACAATAGGGAAAAAGCCTCATACTTTCCACTCTATCCATGCCATTCAGAATCTTATAAGCTTCAATCAGGTCACCTCTCAACTTCCTGCATTCCAGTGAAAACAAACCCAGTCTAACCAACCTTTCTTCATAGCTAGAATTCCCCATACCAGGCAACATCCTGGTAAACCTTTTCTGTACCCTCTCAAAAGCATCCACATCCTTCTGGTAGTGTGGTGACCAGAACTGTACGCAATATTCCAAGTCTGGCCTAACTAAAGTTCTATAAAGCTGCAGCATAACTCTCTGGTCCTTACATTCAATACCCCTTCCAATGAAGGCAAGCATGCCATAGGCCTTTTTTTACTACCTTATCTACCTGCAATGCCACCTTCAGTGACGTGTGGACCTGCACACCCAGATCCCTCTGCATATCAATATTCCTAAGGGTTCTGCCATTCACTGTATAATTTCCACCTATACATGACCTTCCAAAATGCATCACCTCACATTTGTTCAGATTAAACTCCATCTGCCATTTTTCTGCCCATGCCTCCAACTGATCCATCTAATTGAAACGTACAGAATACTGAATGGCCTGGACAGAGTGATGTTGGGAAGATGCTTCCATTGGTAGGAGAGACTAGGACCCAACGGCACAGCCTTAGAGTAAAGAGAAGACCTTTCAGAACGGAGATAAGGAGAAACTTCTTCAGCCAGAGAGTGGTGAATCTATGGAATTCACTGCCACAGAAGGCTGTGGAGGCCATGTCATTGAGTACGTTTAAGAGTGAGATAGATAGGTTCTTGATTATCAAGGGGATCAAGGGTTACAAGGAGAAAGCGGCATATTGGTGTTGAGGAACTTATCAGCCATGATTGTACGGTGGAGCAGACTCGATGGGCCGAATGGCCTAATTTCTGCTCCTGTCTTTTGGTCTTATGGTATCCTCTGACAATCCTCCCCGCTATCTGCAACTCCATCAATCTTTGTATTGTCCACAAACTTACTAATTAGACGACCTAAGTTTTCCTCCAAATCATTTATATAGACCACCAACATCAGAGGTCCCACCATTGATCCCTGTGGAACACCACCAGTCACAACCCTCCATTCTGAAAAGCATCCTTCCACTGCTACCCTTTGTTTCTTATGACTAAGCCAGTTCTGTACCCATCTTACCAGCTCACCCGATACCACGTGTCTTCACCTTTTGTACTAATCTGCCATGAGGGACCTTGTCAAAGGCTTTACTGAAGTCCATGTAGACAACATCAACTGCTTTTCCCTCAATCGATCATCTTCGTCACCTCCTCAAAAACCTCGATCAAGTTAGTGGGGCATGACCTCCCCCGCACAAAACCACGCTGTCTATTAATAATAAGTCCGTTTGCTTCTAAATGCATATAGATCTTGTCCCTGAGAATCTTTTCCAATAATTTCCCTACCACCATAATTTCCTGAATTATCCCTGCGACCCTTCTTAATCACTGGGACAACATTAGCTATTCTCCAGTCCTCTGGAACCTCACCTGTGGGCAAAGAGGATACAAAGATGTCTGTCAATGTTCCAACAATTTGTTCTCTTGTCTCCCTCAATATTCTGGCATATATCGCATCAGGACCCAGGGACTTATCTACCTTAATACTTTTTAAGACGCACAACAACGCTCCCTTTTTAATAGGAACTTGGCTTAGATTATTGGATTTTTGGATTACTGGATTACCTTTTTAAAAAAAAAAGAGACTCCACATGAAAACAAAGGTGCACAGGGCCTCCCCCCCAATATGTTCCCCATTTCAACACTACAATTTTTTACCTGCAATGCCAACCAAATTGAATCCCACATAAAGATTAGTGTGCAAAATTAAAGCACATGGGTTAGTGTATTTGGGATGGATGGACAACTGGTTGGCAGACAGTAAATGAAATGTAGGGATAAGTGGCTCTGTTTCTGAATGGCAGCCAGTGACTAATGGGATCAGCACTAGGACCCCAGCTATTCACAATATATATCAATGATTTGGATGTGGAAACTGAATGTAACATCTCTCAATTTTCAGATGACACAAAGCTGGATGGGAGGACAAGCTATGAAAAGGATGCAGAGATGCTTTCAGTGTGATTTCAGCAAGCTGAGTAAGAAGGCAAATGTATAGCAGACGCAGTATAATGTGGATAAATGTGAAGTATCCACTTTGGGAGCAAAACAAGGAAAATGGATCAGAAGAATGAAGGGGGGAATCTCTTAGCAAAACTAAGATTCTAACGGGACTAACAGGGTAGGTGCAGAAGAAATGGTGGGGAGATCAGAACCAAGGGTCACTGTCTAAAGGCTACAGGGTAAACCATTTAGGATGAAGACCTGGAGAAATTTCTTCATCTAGAGTGGTAAGCCTGTGGAATTAGCTTCCATAGACAGCAGTTGAGGCTAAAACATTGCATGATTTCAAAAGGGAGTTGGTGATAGCACTTGGGCTGAAGGGATCAAAGGATATGAGAGAAAAGTAGGAACAAGCTATTGGGTTGGATGTTCAGCCTTGATCATGGTATCAAGAGCAGGCTTGAACAGTCAAATGACCTACTCCTGCACAATTTTCTATGTTTCTATGGTGTTATTCTGGTCAATTGGTTTGATAACCAAGTTGACTGACTTTCAGTTGGTTTTATTTAGTCATGGAATATTGGTGTCACTAACCCAGACAACAGTTAAGACTCAACCACATTGTTGTGTGGTCTGCAGTCACATGTAGACCAGATTGGGTAAGGATAACAGAATTCCTTCCCTAAAGGACATCAGTCAACAAGATGATTTTATTTAAGATTTTTTTTTAGGTACGGTTAGCAGCCTGCTGCTGATTTAGGCACTTGTCCATCTATCATAACGGGAGAAAGTTCAGGGTTAGGGAAGACGCTGGGCTAGTCAGCCCTTGTAGTTTATGTGCACCCCAGCGAAAATTACACAAGATGCCCACAGAGGTGGGTGGTGAGGTGTAAAACCCTACCCTTTGTATTAGATGTTTAAATTGGAGAGGTTTGATGTTCAACAAGAGAGTTATTTCTTTTCATATTTTCTGACTTTCTTCTTACTTTCACACAAGGAATTTGTTTAATAACTTTAGAGTCACATTCTCAGAGTCATACAGCATGGAAACAGACCTTTGGAAGTTCATTCCACATACAAACCATTCTCTGTGTAAAAAGAATTGCCCCCATTTTTTTTTTTTTAAATCTTTCCCCTCTCACCTTAAAAGATGCTCCCTAGTCTTGAAACCTCCCACCTTAGAGAAAAGGCACTGGCCATTCACCCTATCTATACCCCTCATGATTTTAAAAACCTCTACAAAGGTCACCTCTCAACATCCTACGCTCCAGTGAAAAAAGTCCCAGCCTCTGCTTATAACTCAAACCCTCTGCATTCCCGGCAACATCCTGGTAAATTTCTTCTGAACTCTCTCCAGCTTACTAATATCCTTCCCATAACTTTCCTAAAATTATGGCTGCTCTGTTATTTAGACAAAAGGAGGGGGGGGGAAGAAAGTATTTAACATTAAAGATCACAATCTGCATAAAATGACTGTTGCCTACTCAATGCAGAAAAAATTCCCCTACCACCACAAGCCAAGAAATGCAAAGATAATGAAGGACACTTCTTATCTGTTAAGACATACACATTAAAACAAGCTTTCAATAATACTTACTAAGGATAGGCAGTAAATGCTCAGGCAGTGTGTCCAAAGCCATGAATGAATGAAAATAAAGTATCAGAAGAGCTTGTTCTCTAAAATAGAAATTCATTTCCCAAAACTACATACTATAAATACTTGCAAATGTTGACTGCGCTGCCAAAGTAATTATCACCTTAAAACAGTAGGGTGTTTAACATCACAATTTATGCTAGGATGTAGGAGGGTGTCCTGTCTGTAGACCAGCCCTCCTGTTGATTTCACATGTCAAGCTGCACCTCTGGGAAATGTAGCAGAGATAAAGGAAATTCAGTCTGGATCCTTACTAAAATTGAGAAGAGTCACTGAAGATCTCACAACAAATGTAAGAAGTTCAGAACAGACTGGGTCACAGATTTGTGGATGCGTTAGGTGTTCTATGGTACAAACCGGGTGTTAGCCTTTTTAGTATGCTCTCTACGAACTAATGACGATCGTAAATAAATTCGGCTTGAAGGGGCAGAACCAAGTTAAGAGTCGCTTACCATTTAGAAATACAATGAACACATTTGGATATGACAGTTCTTCCCCACAAAGCAGATTTACATCTTCAACACCAAGGTTAAAGGCGAGTTTAATTATGGGGCCATCTTCCATATCTGTTGTGATGTGGGTCATCAAAGCCAGATTCTTCACCAAACCGCAAGCCTGCATTTACAGCAAAAACAAAAGCAATGATGCTAGAATAGAAAGTACAAATTGTTCATTTGCACTGTGAAGGGATGCAGGCCTGATCCAGTACAAAAATATTTTACCACTCGGACAACAGCACGGTTCAGGAAAATTCAAACCTCTGCCGTCTTTCATTGAACAGTCTGGATGGTTAAATTTAAATTCTCATTCTTAAAGCTGAGTAGGTGTCAAATGAAGAACTGTCACATGAATGGGCTGAATGCTGAGCCATTCTTGGAATCTGGAAGAGGGGTCACTTCAAAAACGTGGAAACCTGCTGTGGGACCACAAATCAGAGCAAAAATTCGAAATTCAGGTGACTGGCCACAATTTTCCATCCACCAGGATGGAATTTGGACAAGTATATTATGGACAAAGTAACTGAATGCTTTGTTGATAAGGTGACAAACCTACTGAGAGTGATGTTTCTCAGTCTGTTAGCAATACAAAGTTGGACAGGGATACAAGCTGTGAGGACTCAAATATTGCAAAGTGATATAGATAGATAATTGAATAATTGAATGGACAAAGTGACAGATGGAACACAATTTCAGGAAGTAAGAGGTTATTCACTTTAGTTGTTAGAAATCAAAAATCAGAATGTTTTAAAGATGTGAAATTTGGAAAAGTTGTTATTTGGAGGGATGTAGATGCACTTGCAAAAGGAACATAAAATTAGCATGCAGGTGCAACAAGGAATGAGGAAGATAAATGGCACGTTAGCCTCTATTGCAAGGGGACTGGAGTACAATTGGGTGTATGTTGAAACATAAGATTCTTAGGGGCTTAACAGGGTGGATGCAGAGAAGTGTTTTCCTATATAAGGAAGTCTAGGACCAGGGCATCTTCTGAAAGTAAGGGGTTGTCCATTTAAGACAGAGTTGAAGAGAAATTTCTTCTCAGAATAGTGAATCTGTAGAATTCTTTACCACAGAGGGTTGAAGAAGTTGGGTTGATATGTATATTGAAGGTTGAAATTGACACTTTAAATCAGTAAGGGAATCAAGGGTTAAGGGGAAATGGCAGCAAAGTGAATTAAAAATCGGATTAATTATGATCGCTTTGAAGAGCAGAGCAGAATCAATGGACCAAATGACCAACGTTTGCTCATGTGTCTTATGGTCTAAAAATAAGGAAGTCTCAAGTCACCACAAAGGTGTCGCAGAGGATTGGCAGGCTTTGGACTACTCCTCAGAAAGCAGTGGAAATATTCAATATTCATTCATTGAATATAGTCAAGGCAGAGTCTGGCAGGTATATGATTGACAAGCCAGGTGAGGGTTGTGGGAAAAATGCAGTCAAGGTCAAAATCAGATCAGCCAAGATCTGCAGAATGAACTAGTAAATGGCATATTCATGCTGCTACCATTTAGGATCTTGTGTTTTTATGATGGCACTGTGTACAGTTTTGGTTTCAATACCCAAGGAAGGAGATGCTTACATTGAAGTTCCTGGCAGAACAGGGATGTCCTATGATGACAGGTTGAAATAATTGGGTCATTATTCCTCTAAACTCCAATGAGTAATAGACAATTGTACTGGAAAACACAAGCTTCTGATAGGATTGGACAGAATAGGCACTGAATCACTGATTGACATTGGAGAACCTAGAATACAGCAAAGAGGCATACAGCATGGAAACAGACCCTTTGGTCCAACTCGTCCATGCTGACCAGATATCCTAAACTGATCTAGTCCCACTTGCCAGAATTTGGCCCATATCCCTCTTAACCCTTCCTTTTTATGTACCCATCCAGATGTCTTTTAAATGTCATAATTGTACCTACCTCCACCACTTCCTCTGGCAGCTCCTTCTGCATGAAAAAGTTGCCCCTCAGGTCCCTTTTAGATCTTTCCCCTCTTACCTTAAACCTATGCCCTCCAGTTTTGGACTCCCCTACCTTGGGAAAAGACCGTGCTAACTTACTCTATCCTTGCCCCTCAAGACTTTATAAACTTCTATAAAAGTCACCCCTCAGCCTTCAATGCTCCAGGGAAAAAAAGCCCCAGCCTATTCAGCCTCTCCTCATAACTCAAACCCTCCAATCTTGGCAACATCTTGTAAATTTTTTCTGAACCCATTCAAGATTAACAACATCTTTCCTCATAACAGGGAGACCAGAATTTAACACAGTATTCCAAAAGTGGCCTCACCAAGCAGCACAGTCTCAAAATAAGGTTGACGTCTAAGATGAGGAGACAATTCTTAACCGAAAAGGTTGTGAATCTTTGGAATTCTTTACCGTATGGGTTGTGGATATTTTATTGCCGAAAATATTTAAGGCTGAGGTAGATGAGTTTTAACTCTGTTTGCGAATCAAGGGATAAACTGGGAAAGTGGAGTTTAAGCTAATGACCAGTCAAATCCACCAGAGATTTTTTTAAAGATGTTACTTGTAATGTAAATAAGGGAAACCAGTGGATATGGTGTACATGGATTTTCGGTAGGCTTTTGCTGAGGCCCTGCACAGAAGATTAGCAAATGAAATTAGAACGTATGGGAGTGGGGCGAATATATCGATACAGATTGAAACTGGTTGAGAGAGAGAAAGCAGAGAGTGAAAGTTAAGGGACATTTTTTTAAAATTCACTCATGAGACGTGGGCTAATGCCTTTGAAAAGGAGATGGTGGAGAGCTGCCTTCATGAACCACTGCAGTCCATGTACTGTAGGTAGACCCACAACGCTATTACAAAGGGAATTCCAGGATTTTGACCTAATGTCACTGAAGGAATGGTAATGTGTTGCTAAGTCAGGATGGTGAGTGGCTTGGAGGGGGATGGTGTTCCCATGTAACTGTTGCCCCTGTCCTTTTAGATAGCAGTGGTTGTGGGTTTGGAAGTTTCTGTCTAAGGATCTTTGAATTTTTGCACTGCATCTTGCAAATCGTATTCTCAGGATGGCAGGCTATTTAACAGTAGAGCCCTGCAAGGATCAGAGCTGTTCACAATCTATATCAATGATTTGGATGTGGGGAAACATTTGCAATATTTCCAAATTTGCTGAGGACACAAAACTAGGTGAGAGAATGAGAGTTGTGAAGACCATGCAAGGAAGTTCCAAGCAAAACTGGGTGGACAGGCTAAATGAAAGGGCAAGAGCATGGCAGAAGGAATATAATGTGAATCAGTGCAAAGTTATCTACGTTGGTAGGAAAAGCAGCTTTGGGGGGGTTTACCTACAGCAAATGGACTGCAGCAGTTCAAGAAAGCAGCTCATTATCACTTCTCAAGGGCATCTAGGGATGGGTAATAAAATGTGTAGAATCCATGTAATCACTGAATCTTAACTCTCAGCAAGTGACCATTTAGGCCAGTGTGCCAACTCACTCAAAGATCTGTACAATTACTCATATACCCTTACTCTGACTCCTGTAAATTTCTACCCTATAAGCATTGTTGATAATATTGATTTCACAATTTCTGTAGAATGGGAATTTTTCAACTAACACACAGAAATAAAACTAACACACATCTCAAACCTGGAATATTTACCTCTCCTTCAGGAGTGTCTGATGGGCACAACATCCCCCATTGTGACGGCTGAAGCGATCTGGGCCCACTCACTTTTCTGGTCTTTTCAAACTGAGAGGAGATCCTGGTCATCATACCCAGGGCAGCAATATAAGACAAACGAGACAGCACCTGAGTAACACCCTGACGGTCCATTTTGAATCTTTTGAGAGACCAATTCCCCTGCAAGAGATTAAATAGTGGCAACACTGAGAACAGTACCATAGAGGCAAAATTCCTTAACAAGGCCCCAGTTAAGGAAGAAGCAAGAAAATTGTACTCAAATTTAAAAAAGCAATGTAATGTTACATGACAAAGCCCTTTCTACTGTTGTGAATAATTGCTCAGGAAATGAACAGTATGTCTGCATGTAGCAAGATCCAGAAAACATTCAGGCTTATGTTTCAGAGTAACAGGCCCCTCAGGCAAGTCTGCCACACTACCTTCATTTCTGCTGTCACCCTTACCCTCCCTCCCAGAATTACAACAGGACTCCCCTTGTCCACATCTTCCAGGCTCTACATTCAATCGATAATTTTCTGCCATTTTCACTATTTCCAGTGTTTTGCCACAACACACAGTTTCTCCTCCCTCTGCAGCATCCTAACTCCTCAATTATCCTCAATGTCCTGTCCCTCCTTCCCATGTATCCATAGGAGGAAAACCTCCCTTTCTGCCACTTTTCTCCTCACTTTCCAAAGACCCACCACTCCCTCTAGGAAAAGGGGTTAAAATTGTTTCAGAGATAGTAGGAACTGCAGATGCTGGAGAATCTGAGATAACAAGGTGTAGAGCTGGATGAACACAGCAGGCCAAGCAACATCAGAGGAGCAGGAAGGCTG